GCTTTGCTAACAAAATAGTAACTTGCCCTTACCTATCCTCCTACCATTACAAGCAAAAGGAGAGTTCAACAAAACGTGCGCATAGTGAAGTTACAGTTACGTCTAGAAACAAAACAAGTATGATAAATGCAAAAGCAAATAAAATGTATAGAATACAAATGTAAACTAATTTATTATGTATCACTGTTTTGTTAAAATAAACATTATTTTTCTTTTTGACGATCAGTATAGTTTCTAATTGTATAAAAACAGTTATACAGCAGATAATATTTTACTTTTAACTTAAATTTGTGAACCGACTTCAATTGTTTAATGTCAACTGGCAATGCGTTGTAAAGTAACATACATGTATTGTAAGTGGATTACTGATAGTGAGCTGTGATACTGAAACTTGATGAACGTGATTTTTACGATGTGTGTTGTAATTATAACTGCTTGACATGCATGCAGTACTGTAAGAAAATACGTTCCCACCGTTAAGTTAGTCACTTTTGACAAATATTACAGATTCGTAAATATATAGGTAAAGCAGTGATAAGATTCCAAGCTCAATGAAGAGAGGGTTGCAGGAATCACGCGGATGGCATTTTTTCATTATTCGAATAATTTTCTTTTGCAATATAAAGGTCAGAGTACTACATGATGAGTTTTCCCTATGAATTCTATGCCATATGTCGGGCGGTTTGCAAAATACACGCAAGGAGCTGCATCTAGGCTGACAGAATTTAAAAGAATTCTGACTGCGTAATATAATGAACTTAATTTAGTGTTTAATTATGTTATATGTACACTCCATTTGAAGTTTGATTGAAAGTTTGTTACCTTAACATCAGATATTTGCATATTGTTCATTTTCAACGGAGCATGCGATTGCTGATTTAAAATGCAAAATGTATTGAAACTGTTTTCCCTTCGTTAACTATTAATTATTTATTTCAAAACCAATTTGAAACTTCTAAAATCGTACTATTTATTGTTTATTATTTGCAAAGAACATTTGTGTCATTGGCAAACAGAACCGTTCTTCCATTTTTAATAGACGACGGCATATCATTTACATATAATAGAAAGAGGATAGGACTTACGATCGCGCCTTGCAGTACCCCATATTCAATTGGCAAAGAATTGGAAGAATAAGTAAATAATGTCCTTTCGTGCCAGTACGGCATTTCTACTCTTTGAGATCGATGTTTAAGGTACGAGGTTATCCAATCTAGAACGATACCACGAATTTCATAAGAAGGTTATTCACTTCTAAGCATCATAACGTATCTCAAGGTTTCCTCCTCTACAAATCATTGTTATGAAAAGTCATACGACTGGCTAAAATCATGAAACATGACCAGAGTATTTTGAACTCAAATAATAAAACAAAAGCAATTTGGAATATAGTAAAAAATTGGACCAAATCAACTAGATACCTTGTACAGAATGTTGTTTTAAAAGACGATAGAAATGTGAACGATCCGCTAACAGTGGCTAGTCTCTTTAATCAATACTTTTCGAGAATTGCTGCCGATCTCACTAAGGGTCTTCAGCCACAAAATTCACCATCACGATGTTTGTTTCCGAAACTTCTTCCTATGAAATTCTCAAAATAATTTGTAGACTAAAAAATAAATATTCAGAGGGTTTAGATGAATTTCCGGATCGTTTGTTAACGGTTTGCGCGCCCGCATTTATACACCCGTTAACTCACTTATTTAATGTATCCTTATGTACAGGAATTTTTCCAGATATTCTTAAGATTAAGCCGCTTTTCAAAAAAGGCAACAAAATCGAAATTTAAAATTATTGGTCAATTTCTCTTTTGTAATTTTTTTTCAAAATATTAGAGACACTTTTTTACGTACGAATGGAAACATTTCTTAGTAAACACGACTCGTTTTCAGATTGCCAACATGGGTTTCGAAAATCAAAATCTACGCAAACAGCCATTTATTTTATTTTCTTAAAGATGTCGCCCCATCCATTGATCAAAACGAAGCATCTATTGGAATAATTGTATATCTTTCAGAAGCTTTTGACGTCATTGATCATAACATTTTACTCTCAAAATTACTTTCGTATGGAATTCGCGTTGTTCTAGATTTGTTAGGTTCGTACCTTAAACAACAATCTCAGAGAGTAGAAATACTTTACTGAAATAATGTAACATTATGTACACACCTTTCTGATTCTTTACCAATTGCATGTATAGTTCCGCAGGGATCGATTTGAGCCCTATTCTCTTGCTACTATCCGTAAACGATATGGTCTCGACGATTAGAAATGGAAGAACAGTTCTCTTTGCGGACAATACAAATATTCTTTGCAATAAAGAAACCATAAATAGTACAATATCAGATATTTCAAATTGGTTTAGTAATAACAAATTAATAGTAAATGAAAAGAAAACTGTTTCAATGCAGTTCTCCATTTCAAATAAACAACTCGGCACAATTTTTTCAAATTCAGTCAGCCTCCACACTGCTCGTTGTGTATATTTCGCGAATGTTCATTCCCGCCTAAGATATGGCGTAATATTCTGGGGAAATACATCTTATAGCGTCCATACTTTTAGATTACAAAAACGAATAGTACGAATAATAAGGAAATCCCACCCACGCGATTCTTGTAAGTCTCTCTTTATTAATCTAGGTATTTTATCATTACCTTGTCTCTTAATATATCAATAAGTGGTTTTTGTCAAAAATGACTTACTTAAGGGCGGAAATATATTTTCAGCAGCCGCCGTAGTCTATAACTACAACACTCAACGTAGTAAACATTCATCAGGTAACAGTATCAACAGCTCACTACAAAAAATCACATATAATACATATACATTATTTTACACCTTGCCAGATGACATTAAACGATTAAATTCGATACAAAAATTTAAGTCCCAAAGTCCCAAGTAAAATCTTTTCTGCTGCACAACTGTGTCTATACAATTAGAGACTATACCGAGCATCCAAAAGGAAAGTAATATTAATGTTAACAATGACATTTAATGTATTATATATCATTTGGATTGTATAATTGTAAAGAACGTAACAAGTATTGTACTTCAGCTTCTGGGTCATTGACCCCCATCTCGATCAGGTTTTCGTCCAGTTTCCCTGATCCTCGGGCAAATGCTGAGATGGCTCCTTGTTTTACTTCTAGACATAAATATAACTTCAAATTAACTTCGCCCCGTAGAATGTCACACAGTTTTTAACTGTTTTTGACGTAAATAAAAGTAATTTTGATAGCAAAATGTTATGGTCAACGACGTCAAAAAACTTTCGAACGATCTAAAAATATTCCAATGGGTGCTTCATTTTGGTCCATTGATGAAGCAACATCTTTAAGAAAGAAAAATGGCAGTTTCCGTAGATTTTGATTTTCTAAACCCGTGCTGTGAGTCTGAAAACGCTTCGTTTTTCCTGAGAAATGTTTCCATTCACGTATTGAAAAGCCTCTCTAACATTTTTGAGAAACCTGACAAAAGAAAAATTGGTCGGTAATTTTGAATTTCATTTTTGCTCCCCTTTTTAAAAAGTGGGTTAGTTTTTGCTGTTTTGAAAATATCTGGAAATATTCCAGTACATAAAGAAGCATTGAAAATGTGAATTAGCGAGTGTATAAAGGCAGGTACACAAGTTTTCAATAAACAATCAGGAAATGCATCTAAACCAGATGAATATTTAGTCTTCAGTTTACTGACTATTCGTAAGATTTCGTTAGAAGAAGTTTCGGAAATAAACATCGTGTCGAACATTTTTTGGGAAGTTGTTTAATGATGTTAAATTTTGGCCGTTTTAGTTCCTTCGTGAGTTCAGCCGCAATTCTAGAAAAGTGTTGGTTGAAGACATTTGCTACTTTTTCCGGATGCCGAAAATCTAAAAATTTCATATGTCTTCTTGGGTGGTTTCTATACTCCTTTGAAACTTCACGAACTCACTACACTTGAAGCAGTGTATTCATTAAGTTCAGTACATTAAAGTTACAAGTATCTAATTACGATAAAAACTTATCCCATTGCAAAATTACGCAGAGTGAAAAGAAGTCGGATCATGGTGATTCCTCCGAATTGCTAACAAAACACAAAGTATACATTTTATTATTTTCACATAAAATTAATTTAACAAGACCATTACTTTACCATGGAATTACAGAAATATAAGTCGGTATTCACAAATTATTTGTTTGTATTTTCTGTTCTATCACAGACATAACTTTGCTAATTATAGGCTTCCTTAACCTTTTAAACGGGATTTGCAATCTTGTTCGTCGAGGATCTCAAAATATTATGGCTGACTTTCCGTCTAGTCGGGCGCTCTAAACCATCAAAGAATTCGTCGTTCAACTCTATTGTCATGTCCATCATGTCCATCACGGTAATACCACAGATATTCCTTGAAAATCTCAGCAACTTCACACACAATTTCTGTTATTTTGGAGTTATCCACCAGCCTCTAGAACCTCCAAATTATTTACCGGATACTTCAACCGTGTAGATTTATCAGGCACTCGTAAAACACAAATTTGCATCATATCAGTAAGATAACTTCTGGATAGACTATCAGACACTTTATCAGGCACCGGTGAAACAGACCCTAGTGTTGATTCTCTCCAGCTGTCTGGTATATAACCTTGATCCAAGCATCTATTGCACAAGTCTATTATTGTCACATGCATATGTATCCAACATGCTTTTAGGTGTTCATAATATATTTGGTCTGGGCATCCCTATTTTCTTTTTTTTTTCCTTTTCGTATTAATTTTTCCAACTCGTTTAACGAGAACGACTCTATGTGCGCGTTGTCGTCACAGTTGTTTCCCTCTGGTCCGGTTTCCTTTGAGTGCAGCACTTGTGTGATATGAGATTCTCATACTTCCATTGGTATATTCTGTTGGAATTTTAGCTGTTTCGGTCTCAATATTTTGAAAGGGTCACGTTCTGCTTGACTTTTTAACTTCTCTTTTTCTTTGAGCTGGTGTTGATCTTTAATCATTTCCTTGTATTCTTTCCTCTTTCGCGAGTAATTTGATTTCTTTTGTTGGATTATGCCTAGTTTTCCACAGAACCTCTAAAGCTTCTCTTCTTGTAACACTGCCTATCAATCCATGGTTTTGCCTTCCTGTTGATATGTTTCTGGGGTTCTGTTGCCTTATGAATTATGTCCTATGAGTTGTATCCTCCTGCTGTATACATTCTGCTACTTTAAGAATGGTGTTTTAGTATGCTTGAAGCATTCCTGTATCAATTTTCCTAGGATGATCCTCGATTCCTAGATTATGATCTTCGGTGGCTTTGCTTGGTTCCTATTCTTCAGTTTAAATATCGCTTCTGCCGGTAGATGTTTTCGTATTACTACATTGTCGTTTACTTTGGTGAATGCTTTATCGACTCATATCATGTTGCTGAAAAAGAAGGCAATTGCACTAGATCCAATTGGCCCTACATATATTTTCTCGGTTCGGGTGTTTGGGGACTTGGGTGATTTGTTCAGTACACTTGAGAACCCTTCGATGTTCCATAGCCTACATTGTAATATATTTTCCTTAATTTCTTCCCCTCTCCTTTTTGTCTTCGCCGTTCCTACGTAGCTATTTTTTGTCTTTTTGTTTGTTTCTATATTATCTGTACTTCGCTTAGTCCGTATGTGACCCACTGGATTGCGTGTTTGGTTGCCATCGCGGAAACTATCAAAATGGAAACTATCTCCATAATATACAACATCTTTGGGACTTCGCGATCAGCCACGTCGACGTGAACATTAACGGGTTGGCCGGCCAATGTGAATCTGTGTGACCAGATTGTGACCGAGTGACGTGGTTTGACGTGTGCTGCGCTGGCCGTGCCTGCTGCCTGATCACTGCTTGTGCGTTCGTTTCGCGTGTAAGACGACCATACGGCGACTATTTTGATTTTTCTAACTAGAATCGTCAAGTGATAACGCCGTATAACGAAGGCCATTTGATTGTTTCAATATATTTGAAGAATTTAGTAAAGTAATATGAAGAATTCTGCTGCAAAATCTAGCGGAAAGCAACCTAAATCGTTTACACGAGAAGAAGAACTTCTTCTTCAAGATTTCAGCAGAAATGTTACCACAAAATCTTCGGCATTGTTCTATGGCAATGCCCTTATTGTAACCTCAATACCCATATGTGAGTAATGCTCGCTTTCTTTGATTAATTATGGAACATAATACTTCGGAAATAATTTATTTCTGTCTATTTTCAGGGCTGTTTTACAGGATCCACATGATCGATGTTTATTCTTCAATTATTTCTTTCATTGTTGTAACGTTAGTTAGTACTTACTTGGTAGCTCTTGCATACAAAAATACCAAGTTCATTCTGAAACACAAGGTAAAATTAATATATCCTTCAATTAATTTAATCTTGCATGTATTCAATGTTTGTATCTGTCCCTTCATCTTTGTAGGTTGCTGTAAAACGAGAAGAGGCTGTCACAAGGGAAATGACTAAGAAATTGGCTGAAGACAAAAAGATGAGCAAAAAGGAAAAGGATGAAAGGTGCTGGAAGTGTTATTGCTTCTCTTTAATACTGATGCATATCACTGGTGCTTATTGAAGAAATTAAATGTATGTCTTCTTTCAGAATTCTATGGAAAAAGAATGAAGTCGCAGACTTTGAGGCCACAACATTTTCAATTTTTTATAACAATGCATTGTTTCTGGCACTAGTAATTTTTACTAGCTTCTATGTGTTGAAGACGTTCACCCCTGCTGTGTATCCTTTTTGTGTTGGTTTTCTTATTTGTAGCAGCTGAAGTAAAAAAATATATAGCTATGAAAGTCTCTCCATAGTGGTATCTTACTGATGAGAGAACTTGCAACAGAAATTATATCAGCATGAGCTGCAGCTTATAACAAAAGAAAATTTAAATTGCATACTCACCACCATGGAGTTGTGAATACATAGGTGGTATTACCAACCTCTGTCATGTTCTGCATGTGAAGCCAGTCTGTGATATTGGTGTGCCCAAAACATGTCTGTCAAACAAGGAAATAAATGAGTAGTAACCATTTTACAATGAAAATTTAAAATCTTAAGATTATTGAAGACTATAGTAACTAAAACAGAGAAGCTTCATTGCAAATTGCGGGGTCACTGTAAAGTATTTTCAATATGCGAGAAACAAAATAACCTCAAACATAAAACGCCAAGAATAGTACATTACTAAATGTGCGTCTTCGGACTTGAAATTTCTCACAAAAAGCATGCGAATAAATAATAATTAACACTGCTAAAATTTGAAGGAGCATGAGATGCACAAATTATTATGAAATGTTCTTACAATTAGTGTTGCCACAGTATTCAAAATGTGGCTACCATACTAACTTTAATGATTTTAAAAAAGTACATTGTAGTACTGCACCGTTCCTTTTTTATTTCACAATTTCCCTCCATAAACATTAAGTACTTACATCCGAAGTCAAGAGAATAGGGTCCTAAAGTTGGGAGTTTGCAACTGGGCCAGTAATACAATTGATACCTACATTGTGTAAAACTTTCGGGTCTGTTTATAGAAGATGTCAAAAATAATAATGTTAATAATCTGTTTGAAGTCATCTTTAGTGAATAATTATTCCGGCACAATTTACTTCTCATAAGTGTGGTAGAAAAGCTGCTAATTTTGTTTGAACTGTGAATTTCACAAACGTATGTTTAATGAAGTTCCATCAAAATCCTCTTCTTGAAAATGAATGGAGCAGAACTTGCTGTTTGTTCTAGTCTGCTAGTTGTCTTTTCATACAACTCTTTCCTCATTCGTATGAAGAGAAACATCATGAAAGTTATCCAATATCTTCAAATTTTAGTAAGTTCTCAAGCCATATAAAGAAACTACTTACAGGCCTTATAAAGTAACTACAACATACTGTTTACAGCAGAAAGCAACAAAAGTAATTGTGACAAGTCATAACTTTTACGCAAGCTTGATAATCTGATCAAGGGTTTTGAATATAAAAACTGTAACAAATAACACACCTCAACATGATGCCAACAAGCATTTTGGGCACACCAGTATGGCGGGTCGTTGCTTCAGGTGGCTTCAAGTTTGCCATGCCATCTCCATGTATTCCTAGCTCTGTGCTCACCACAATCATAATGGATGCTGTAAGTGTTCCTTTCACTTTCGTTCCAGTGGTCTGGTTGCTACCAACCTAAATACAATTTTTAAAAAGAGGCCCTGTGTTAGCTTTGTGTGGAGAGTGCTTCCTAGTGCATTGTAGCATGTGCATGGCAGTTAAATAGCTTATGTAAATATCCTGGGAGTATTTATAGAATAAATTATTTTAAAACTACTTCCTTTGGATAAAGAAAGCTTAAGCCAGCTTATTTCTAAACCATTTCATTTATATATTACCACTGGATTAAGGTAAGCGTGGGATTATATTCATTTCATTGTTAATACAAAATGATATGATGACAGGAACATTTGGTGCTTAAGAACTTCAATTTGTGGTAATGAAATATGAATTTAGGATATAAGCTTTGTCCTTTGTTATTGAACTTACAATTTACACAAGACTCGCATACTAGTTAGTTTTATAATTTTGTCGATCAAAATTACTTTTTTGTCTTCCCCATCCTCTTGCTAGCTTCCACCTTTGTCGACGAAAGTACATTTTTAAAACTTTTCTCATTTCCTTGGTTTCCTAATTGCAGAACACAATTATTACTTTAAGAATATTAACGCTTTCACTGCCAAGTGCAATCTCGCCACATTGAGATTGGTACCGAACTATTAAAATTTACAAAAAATGTAAATGATCTTACGGAAATAACTAATTTTGAAGAACAAATTTCATTTGAATGAAACATCTCTATCTTCAATTTAGTTGTAGGAAGATATAGAAAAATTTTTAAACTTTAGCAATTTTTGAAAATTTAGGGTTAACAGTAAAAATTAGATGTATGCTACCTTTGTAAGTGTGTTTCACTCTATTCTTAAAAGAAATTAAAGGAAAAAAAATTGGAGCCATTTTTGAGAAAATTTTGAAAATGCCCCCTAGGACTTAATGTAAAGTACTTCCAAAATTTAAAGAATGTTTTTCAAAATTACAGAGCTTGGTGTGGAACTAGATTGATCAGGGAATATTCATTTTGGAGAAAAATCATGTGGATATTTTGTAATGTTGTTCACGGATGAACTGATGGACGTTTTGAAAAATAATCTTTCTTTGCATCAGGGGACCTCAGAAGTGCATTTCTGTTAAAAATTTTAAAAATTCAGTTTCCAGTGTTTCTCTATACTATGTATATATACGTATGTATATAAAAAGTAACTAGTGGTGCTACAGAATGGCACAGATTTTCTTGTAGCAAAGTTTTCTAATTTCCTTCGTGTGGGTTTGCTGTTTGCTTACCCCATCCTCTTGCTAGATGCCATCTATCGCCACCCAAAATATGTTTTTTGAAGTTTTCTCAGTTTTCTAATGGTAGAAATGAAATGTTACTTAAAGAATCGTTAAGCCTGTTCTTGTAAGGAAATTTTCGTAGCAGAATTTAGAGCTGTTTTAAGAAAATGGTGTTTTGAGCGTTTCTGAAAACGTGGTATTTTGAGTTTGTTTTTACAGAAAAGTTTTTAATTTGCTTGGAAACTTTATAAGACATAATTTAAAGCACATGTACTGTTAAATGCAATAATGTGAAGAACCACTAATGTAAATATTAATCAGGGATAATATTAGAGGGCAATGAAAAAAATTACATTTTTGTAATTTTTGAAAAAGCAAAAGAATGGAGCAAAATGGTGTTCATGTCATCTCAAGAGTATATTTAACACATCCTCAACATAAGTGTAAAGAAAAAAAAACAAGTTTTTGTAAAAGTATTCTTTTTGTTCTTTTTTAAAATTGCACATATTGCAAGCAATATTGCCTGAAAATTACTAAACGTTCCACAAAAATATACATGGTCTTATTGAAAGAACTAAATATGGAGAACAAATTTCATTTGAAAGAATCTCAACCTTTAATTTTGTAGGTCTAGGAAGAAGTCAAAAAAAATTCAAACTTTTGCAATTTTCAAATATTTAGAGTTAACAATGAAAATCAGATCTATGCCGCCATTCTAGGTGTATTTTCTTTGAGAAAAAAGTTAGAACCATTGATGAGAAAATTTTGAAAATATCCCTGAGGCTTTATATGAAGTACATTCAAATTTTGAAGAATATTTTTCAAAATTGGAGCCCTTTGAGTCAAGCCAGATTGATCAGGGAATATCTATTTTGGAACCCCCCCCTTATGGTCCCACAGCTTCTGAAATCCGGCTACATAACGTGTTAGAGGGAGTAACTCTCTATATATCAGAACAGGTTTTGTCTACTTTTTTTGGTATCAGGCCCCCACAATGAGTTTTTGTCAAATAAGCAGTTTTGAATTTTTGATTAGTGAAGAACAGAAACATTTTTCTGTAAACTAAATTGTCTCCCACAGTGAATGTGTTTTATTGTGTAAATATTATTGTTATAATGTTTTGCTCAAATAAATTGGAATAAATCTTCACATATTCAAAAATATTAAGAGGACATAACTCCTCCCCCACCCCCCTCCTCTGGCCTAGTCACACTTGTTTTGAGCTTTTTCTTTCTTATGTGGTGGTGATGCTATGTATATCATGCAGAAATCTGGATAAATTTAATTTTGCTTCAATTTCACTGCTTTATTTATTTCCTTAACTTTGTACAGAAATTATATTCTTTCTGTTGGTAGTGCTGGTGGCTTGATTGCTTTGTTGTCAACAGGATCCCAGTGAATGATTCTGTGGATGGATGTCTTATTTCACTGCCATCAACAATGAATGTATTGTTATATTTAATAAATTTTTGTATGACTATGATGGATTTTATTTTCTGTTTGGCTTTTAGGTTGTTTCCCTTCATGGTTTCATTATGTACTCTAACATTTGATATTATTTTGTTCAGAATTTGAACAGTGTATACATAATTTTCTTCTAATGAAATAAATGCTCTGTAATTTGTTATGGTTTCTTAGTATTTATAAGAAAGAATACTCGAGCACTGTGTGAATTAGAAATCATCTTCAAAAAGGTAAACATGATTTTCACGTATGTCACAAAATCTGTATGATTTGTAGGTATGCCCTAAGGAACCTTCTTTTGTCCAATTATCTTCATTTAGTTGCTTTGATTTAAACCTTTCAAAATGGGGCAATAGTAAATGAGGTGCCTGTTATAGGTTAATTGTAACCCTAGTAAGGAGAAATTCACTTTTCCTGCAAGAGGGACCACTCCCCGGAGGGGGGGACTGACTCGCATTCTTCCCACCCCCTCTTCTTCATCAGTTCCCTCCCGCACTCTAGTCTTCTCCCCTTTCTATGTTTCTGTAACTTCAATGCACTGATGTAGTAGACCTTACTAGAATACTGATTTCTGTAGTGGTGTTTCCTGAAATTTAGAAGGGGTGGGGCAAATCCAGAAAAGGCAGCCATAGGAATGATTTTAAAAAAAATTCCTTCAAAGGTCTTCAGAATTATTTTTCTATTTTGACTTAAGCAAATCTCTTAATCACTGAATGAAAGCCTATTTAGTTTCCTTGGCTGTTCTTTCTGTTTTTTTTATTTATGGAGCCTTAAAGAAATTGCTTGCTATTATCAATTACATTTTAGACTGTTCTGCATTCCAAAGCATAACCCTATGTGGTCTAATAATAATAATAATAATAATGCTTGAGTGATAGCCAAATAATTTAAAGGCAATTATTTAGTATGTGGAATGTAGTTAATTTTAAATGATTGGGAACTGACCTATTCAAAGATTGGGCCTGAACATTTTGTGATTTTACTGAATGGTCTACAAGAAGGTTCTTTCAAGTAACCATTGCTTGTGAAACATATTCGGACTGTTAATTGTAACTGTGTGAATGTGGATATCAACTGAGTTGATATAATATGAATTAAACCCATGGTAATATCTGCTAAAAACATTGTCTTGGAGGAAGCAGTTTCTACCAGTCGTGCAGTAGCTAAGAACCAGATCGTAATCTCTAACTGAAATAACAAAACAATGTTTGAGAAGAATTCAAAAGCTATAATCATGGTAAATTCAAGAAAGTGCGGATCAATTGAGTTGTTGCACTAAGATGTAGTTCTAGTGAAATATATTTATGTTGATAAAAAAAACAAAAACTTTTGCTTTTCTTTGATCTTCAAGTGTTATTTTGCTAGCAGGATATTAGGAACCAAGAACTGAAAATAAAAACTTTGATTTACACAAATTGAATCCACATCCCCAAACTTACAGAGACTGGATGTTGTTGCTATCAATCCTCTATTTAGGTTGGCTTTTCTCAAACATAATAAAAGACATAATTGTTTATTTAGACTTGCCAGGTTACTAATAAGAAAGGGAGAGTGAGGAAAAATATATTATGAGAATCACTTTCCATCCTTAAAGTCAGACTTAAAAATCTAATTTTGGATAATTAGAGTACCGTAAAGGCAAGTTACTTTAGCTGTGTAATGGTTTGCCCCAAAATGAAATTGACTGAAGCACACTGCCACAAGATAGTGGCTTTAGATTGATATCTGACGTTGGTTTTTCTGACAGGCTAAGATCTATGGAAACTTGAAACTATAAGATTGTAGTATGCATGCTTCTTTAGTTTTGGGGGACAAAGTATTATGTTAGGGTCAAAGTCACCTGGCTTTGCAACAAAGTAATATAGCAGGGACAAATTATCCCAACTTTACAGTAACTATATGCCTACACATTATGTTTGGAAATCAAATCTTAATGGTTAGACATCCAATCGGTATATTTGTGTTGAAATCTTGAAAAAATGAGAGTAATGTTGACGACAAGAAGTAAAACAAAAGAGATCAGATAAAAGATCAATACTATAAAGATAGATCAGAAAAGTGTAGTTCAAAAAATTACCAGCAATATTACCAAAAATCCACCAGTGATACAAATGTTGCACTTTGCAATGACTAATAATTTATAATTATGTTCTGTATTGGGAGGGAATGGTTATATACAAATACATATCTATTTTTGGTGTTCAGAAGGATTTCATTCAGTACAATCTTTTGCTCAGGTCTTTAATATACAAGCCATTTTCTTGTTAGAAATCCCATTAATGTACTCACTGAATTTTGAACACAGAATACTTAATGCTGTTTTTCCAAAAGTGTGATGGCTTTACTTATACATCACATTGCAATTGATAATGTATTAATTAATCTCTTATTTGTGAGTTATATATGTATAATGCAGGACAAGTAAACCAAACATCCGTGTGCAAATGGAGAGAGAATCCAAAAATTGATCTTTGACATAATGTTAAGATCTTGCAAAGATTAGAAACTATTTAAATTAATTATTGCACGTTAATTATCATGTAAAAGATAAGGTTGTAAACTGTAATTGTGATGATTGTAATTTTGGACTGCTCCACTTTGGACAGTATTCTTATTACACATTCTCCTTTGGCCATATAACAATGAGGTGGAGAAATAAAGGTGGTGATAATACCCAATTATCACTTTCTAAAAATAATTCTTTTCTGTGAAGAATAGAATGGTATGTGATCGTAAGTAATATACAGAAATTAAATATACATTTTGAATGGGTGTAGTAGTAAATTCAATAAGAGTACTTTTTATAGTTATTCTCATGAAGAAAATGATAAGGGTACACAAAATTCATGAAAAAATTTTTCTTTGTAATTTGTTAGCATTGCGTAATCGTAATGATAAACACTATATACTGCGATTTATCCACCTCTGCCCCTGGCAGGTATCTGGTGTAGACAGTTTCATCCAATCAGCAGCTTCAACATCACCATAGTGATATTACAATGGTGATGTTAGAGCTTCCAATTGGATGAAACTATCAACAGCTGATACCTGTGAGGGGCAGAGATGAATAATAATGTATATCAAAAAAATATAATTTCTTCAGTTTGGGTAGACTGCAGATGAACATATTAATTAGTAAATTGTATTTAAAATAAATAATTTTTGGAAGAAGAAAAATTACATTAGCACTCTATAATTTAAGGAGTTTAGAATGTGTAATTTGACAATTAATATTCTTCATAAACTGTGCAATTTTGCATAACCGGTACATTTGCACAGTGATGCTAGGTTAACCAGGGCAGATCATGAACTTTGATTCAACGTTATTAAAACTTTTAGCAAGCTGATTTCTGATTGCTTAGAGATTAATCTTTATCATATTATATGTCCAGGAATATCAATTGATCTGAACTGATGAAGAGACCACTCTGCCAGGTTAAGTACAGGTCTAATCATGATAAAAGAGTGGTTTCAAAAAGACCTATTTCACAGAATGAAATGAATTTTGTTCTTTACATCAATCTTGATTGTATATTGTGGTACATGTTATTTGTTCAGGAAGACTGCTTATCAAAATCCTACCTTGCAGTGAGAAATGACTTGAATACAATATATTGCACCAAAAACACATTACATCAAAATATTAATTTGTTAAATACATTTCAGGCCACTTTAGCAATGAGCATAGTTAAACACTGAATAGATATATGTCTTAGAAATACAAGAATTGGTGCACATTCAGGCAATGCATAGGCCAATTGTTATTGATATTGTCTTGAAATGCCAGATCCTACTGCTTGGCAATTTACATCTGATGCACTAATACCTATGAGTGGAAAAAATATAATTTCACAAATAAAAAATAATCACAAATAAAAAATTTAGTTGTGAGTTTCTCTTGGAATTGAAAATGTCAGAGGCACACACTTTTGGTAACATTTTACAACATGCTTTTAAAATTGATATATTCTTCATGCTTGTATTGTTTGAAGTAAACAAGACAGTGTTGGAGTTCATGAAGAAACAGTTTTATAAATAATTACATGAAAGGCAACATTGGATTACTATTATTTAATTGGAAGAGAACTGCAGAGTTTGAGCTTGCAGAACCGACACATATCTATAATAGTTCCAGATGCAAAAATTCATTACACCACAATCTCACCTATGGGTGTTTGGAAATCTTGCACCCAAACTTTGTATCTTATCATTCTCATTAAAAAATAGATTAAGTTGTTTTGAATTAGAAAAAATAACAAAACATAATTTCATGCTTGTAGCTCATTAAAACTATAATTAATTTTTGTTGCATTCCCCATACCAATAAAAATGCTAAGAAGGTAGTTATGAAAAAGCAAACATCCATGAGTGAATGTTAAACAGGAGTCACTGTCACTGTATCAATATCACCAATTGACTTCACCCGCCTGTGATGTCTTTGTTTAAATGTTTCACTAAGACCAGCTGGTGCAGAATATTCACTACCACCTTGTGATTGATATGATCCTGGACGATGGTAGTTGAAATTAGCAATAGATGAACTATTTTCTGATGAAGATGACGGTGAAGCCACACCGTTACTTGTTCCTGGTAGTTCTCGGCTGTCCCTCTTCCTATTATGTTGCGAGTCCCCACGTAATTTTAGACCCAAGGCACGGCTGAGTGACCCCTATGAGCAAGATACCACACAAATGAAGGAAAATCATGAAAGATAATATTAAAATGGTGAGATACCTCATTCTTATTCATTAAGTTAAAAAACTCAAATTTTACATTCACTCCTGTTTAATAATAGCTGCAACCCAAATTAAACATTCATTATTCATACCTGTGAGCTCCTCCATGATGAAAACTAAGGGGCAAAAATAATATACAAATTTGGTAAGATGGTACAATTATTTGAAAAAACTTATTATCATATTCTTATTTACTGCTTGAAAAGTATTCAAAACATGCATCATGCCAAATAAGAATGAATTCAAAGTATCAGGAAAGGTCAAACAATCTGATCTAAAACAAGAATTTCCTTCCTTGCATATATACTTTCAGGAAAGATAAATTTGAAACAAATGATTAATTAATGAAACTGGTGTTATCCAAGATGAAAAACAGACAAATGGGCCAGTAAAATCATTTTGCAAATCAAGTGAAGCACTATTTAATATCAAGTTAAATTAAATGAATTATTAACATTATTCTTAATTTAAAAAATAATGAAGCAACCCTGGAAGTGTCATCAAAGAAAACAATGTGTGTGAGTGTGGTATTTTATTGTAGGAAACATAATAAATTATTCCCGAAAATAATGGAAATATTTGTAAATAATTATTTTTTAGTAATAAGTTATAATTATCAAAATAAACATTTCAAAATGCAGGGTATTACTTTTTGGGTCTCTTAGTAATTTTTTTAAAGAACATTACTTTTGTGATAATCTTCAATTATATGTAATGATATTAGGCAGTGAAATAATGCCTTATATCTCATTTTGCTCAGCCAAAATATTTGTATGAAATAATGAAACTAAGTCTAATTGCAACTCAATCATGCAAGTTTCTGTGACTACAGGGACTCTTATACTCTATTTGTGAAGGTCATATTTCTAATCTGGGCGAGCAATAGTACTTAAATGAATGCCAACCTTTTTCAAATATAGGAGACTGTAGGTCTGATGAATGAATTGATCAATAAATTGTTTCAGGTTTGTTTTTCCATTGATTTGGAGAACAGATGCACAGCAACAAGAAAGATAAATCTCTGTTAGTTATACATATACACTACATAATCAGATATAATTTGTAGTTTTACGGCTTGACTCCTACTGGCAGATTGCAGCTATTATCCTATAATTTACAAAAAGTAAATTAAATATATTTTTAAACAATACAACTTAAAGCATTTCAAAGAATCTTGAATTTCTTTTGTTGTGTTTCAGGTGAGCATAATCTGTATGATTATATTCCCATGAGTTGGTATGTTTCTATGAGTGCAACCTATGTAATAAAAAGTGGTTTTGTAATATTTAAGAAATCAGTATAGTGAAAATGAAAATTATTATTAATTTATAATTGAGAAATAATTAACAAGATGCTTGCATAAAGAGCATGTTATTATTCATAAATTACATGATAGAAAATTTGTGTCTGATGCTTCTAAAAACAGAATCTCATTTGACATTGCATGATGTGGTTTTAGCACCAGTGTATTAACTTGAGTAGTAAAAAGGATAATTTGGAAAGGAGATGGTTTCTGGAATCTAGATATTAATGATCACACTCCAACTTCATAACAATTTTCGTGAATTTTTAATTATTTACACTAAGATGATACTGAAGTGTTCATTGGTTCTTCAGAACAATGTAAATTTTTGAAGTGGCTTTGTGTGCTTTTAGTGGATAATTACTAAGAAAAATTCATATTCCTTCATATAAAAAAATATTTTATTTCCGTAATGACACAGAAAAACGTAAATATGTTAAGCCACTAAGATATTAGAAAATTATTAAATAAATTTATAGAACATTTTGGAGAAAAGAAACAACAACATACATTAGTTCAGTACAGTACATTGATGAAACATCAAAGATTATCATTTTTGGAGACCAATTCAGTTACACTGCATAGTCTTTAAGGATAAACAAAATTTCATCTTGAAATTAAATCTGTATTCAATTCACAACGAGCATGGGTTAGGCTTTATATGTACTCTATTGTTATATTCATATATTTTTGTATCTACACCATTATATAACAATGAAGACAATATTCTTTGAATATATTATTTTGAAATGTTTTTTGTTAAGTAACTATATATTTTCATATGTACACAAATATCAATCATATGCAATTCTACCACATATGTCAACAGTGGTCTTGATGTAATTGGAAGAATTTCTTGTTTAGTGTTGTGGTATTATGCAACATTATCATTCAACTTAGATGAGGTAGGTTTCAAAGAAAAGTTGAAAAAATTAAAAAATTAAATATCAATTAAGGTAGGTTTTTGTACTGAACTCTTTACACATCTGAAGAAAAAGTAAGACATTTTGAAGTATGAGTTCTTTAAATTTATTTTTCTGTGTATGAAATAAGTTATTTAACTTATCAAAAAGAAGATTATTTATACTAAAAATATTTTTGTGTTATTTATAAACAATACCATAATGATTTTGAAAAACATTAAAAACATATCATTAACAAAAATGGAACGTTTTTATATAGGCAGCAATAATCAAAACATACAACCACAACACTAATACAGATACATTTCGGGCATTTAAAGCAGAGACATACCAAAAACATATTCTACTAAAGTTTCTAAAAAACACACATGGAAAGTGGGCGTGCTTTATTATCACAACCATGTATATAATGCTTACGTATATCAGTCCAAACACACAGGTAGCATACATGTGCAATTAAGTACAAATACACAAAAGACAAGGAGAACCTTTATTAAGGGCAAGAGAAATCTATTGTTTTTGACCCTCATTCATAAACCAATATTTATTTCGTATGTTTTTAACAAGAATATGATTAACAAACAGTTTATGTGAAACAATATGCTGACAAAATATGTAAAATTTAGTTAAATTTTCATCTTGCAGATAAAAATATCTGAAACGCATTTTCATATTTTTCTGATTATGGTAGGTATTATTGAAACCTATAACTACACAACTTTACATAGGTACAAACTATGTTAAACAAATAATAGTGAAGTTACAAGTGATATTGTAATAAAACAGATTTGTGAAAATAATTTGAAAGTTTTCACCTAAATTGAGTTTACAAGCGTGCTGAGATACAAGAGCAACCAAAATGTATTATTGCTAAGGTAACAGAACAGAAGAAATTGTGTGTTACATTATATTATTTAGAACATGATGTTTGCAATGCACATCCCAAAGAAGTTACTACTGTGCTGTGGTTTAGAAAGCATAAATGCTTCTGATCATCTCTGAATTATTGCACTGCAATCTCCAAAGAACATGTAATATCTTGAGACATGGTTCTATAAGTTTTTAAACAGCACTAAATATTTTGATAGAGAATATAGAAACAACATTTTGCAAAGTAATCTTTTATGATCTTTGAGTATTTTCATAATTGAATTTAATATGAAGTAATATGTAATGTGTCTTGACTTATTTATTGTAGACAGTAAAATAATAATGAGCACAAAGTAAGGGTAAGTTGCGCACATTAACCATCATTTAAAGTTTCAGTTACACCGGGATTTCTTCTTTTTTGCATTCATTTATTACCAGCAGATGAATGGATCCATTTTTCTTTTTGTGTTATTATTTTTTAAACCTTCAAACAACTACAGTTTCCTAATTATGCACATAGGTGCTATATGCTGATGTTTACTGGTCAACATACCTGAATTTAATTCAAATTACCTGAATGTGCATTGCTCCTAAGAATCCCTTTGCCCCAAGAGGTTCAAAAAAATTTAGAAAGTGGAAAAGATTAGAAGGAAAGATAGGAGAGGCATGCAGTTTTTTCTAAAGTGAGAAGTTTCTAGCTATAGATTTGTAAGTCTGTGGGAAGACATACACAATCCACATGCAAAAATATGTTTTCCTTTCAGATGAAATCTCAAATGAACTAGAAACAATGTACTGTACAATATGTATGGTACATTGACAAATTAATGATTTCTTCTGTGAGAATAAAACAAGTCACTAATGTAATTCATCCTGAAGAAATTAGAGAAGACAGAAATAAATAATAAACTCACTTTTCTAAAAACTGAAAGAAGAGAAGAGACAAAAGTAAAATTGAATCAAAAATCAAATTTTCCTGAAAGGAAAAACTCCTAAAACCCTGAAATATCAGGGCTGTGCATCTCCACATACAAAATACTGATGAGGCTAAAGACAAAGCAATTATGCCAAGTAGATGCCACTGCTATTTGATAATTCTTATTCCGAGCAGACAGGAGCAACAAGCTGTCTCAACAAACAAATTATTTGTATTTACAATGCTTTAACATTGATGGTTTATGGTTCATCACAAAGACTAGTTGTAAATAAAAAATATTATGTATAGAAATGTTATAGGTATGTGTTTAATTTTTCTGATATAAATTAAAAATTGTTGATTTAAGTCTCAGATTAAGAAAGCCTGTCTGTTGACAGTGAACTGTAGAGTTTACTGCTCAAAAAAACAATAGAAAATAAAGAATACTTTAATCTCACTTTCTACTGAATAATAGCAAACTGTTTTGTTTTAGAATTCTTGAAGCAACCACCTGCTCAGAGTACAGTGTGCCTACTTGAGAAACTTGCAAGCCAGGCAGGAAATAAAATGCAGTGGGCTTACTCTCAGGCTTGCACGGCGGCGCTCCTTCTCTGGCTCTGGCTGGGGCAAGGCCCGCCCGGGTGCTGGCTCGGCCCACCCGCCTGGCCGGTCCGCCAAGCTGCCCGCGTAAGAGCGAGAGAAGCTTCGCCCCAGACTGCCCCCACCGACCAACTTCTCCGCACGCTTCCTACGCTCCGACTTGCTTACTCGAACAAAGTGCTCAAATGCAGCTCTGAGACATGAACAAACACAAAATGGAAACTAAATAAGAAGTTAGATAAAAAGCAAAATTAACATGTATGTATGCGCCGCAAACAAACTTTTTGAGAGATATGGTTTCATGCTGCATACTTGATTAATATTTTGCCTGATTCTACAGTAAAAAAATAAAGAATGCCAAGAAGTAGTTTAAATTTTATGTGGAAATTTTGAAAACATTTAAATTTCATATTTCAGATGGTTAAGCACATTCAGAAAAGTTAAATACCCATTGAAAATTTCTGTAATAACTATAATTATTATTAACTATTTAGAAATAAAAGTTCTTATAATTACATTCTTTCCACTGTGATATTTCAATAATTATTCAAATAAGTTAGTCTAATAGACAAAATGTATGACAAATATTCAGCAAACAGCATCCTCTTTGCCATTGTTAGAAAATCTGTAGTGATTGTAAGCTATTAAGATCATTTAAATCTGAAGTTATTCCTTCAGTAATTATTTTCCTGAGTGATGAAAGTTAACGAAACACGAGAAAGAATAAATGTGAATCTGTTTCATCCAAATATTGAATCTTCTTCAAAGTAGCCTCAAAAATCATTGTTTTCAAAATATTTCTATCTAATTTTTATTATTGAAACTGATATGCATTAACATATCCAGCAAATTTGTTAATTATTAAATTTATTTACTGAGTAGCTGTGCCTTACATCCACTAAAACTTTGTAAATTTCTTTGTTGAAAACAAGCATTCTGACATGCTTTCGCATGAGAGATGTGCAGTGCAACAAGGACAAAACACAGAGTAATAGCACATGAATAAGTAATACTATACACATAATTTTATCTATGGTATTCATTTTAAATACATTATGAAGAATTTATTATTAAATGAAATCCTTGGAAATAATAAAATATCACTTCAAAGATAGATACAATTTTTTTCTAAATCCAAAAGTTAATGGGGAAATGAAAAGGATATTCCATAAAAATGATAATCAGATATGTACAGAGACAATATAAATTTGATGATCCAGACTATCCATAAAAGAAACATTCTGGAGAAAGCTTTCACCATTAACTACAATATTGCATTTGGAAACATGGAAAAATGTTTTAAGACATATAATAATCATATTTGACACACAATCATTACAAACATGAATTTAAAATTCTTATATTATGCGAGTTGCAAAATTTAAATAATACTAACTTCTTTTTTAAAACAGTAAATTGTTAACTGTGAAGTACTGAATATAATTGTTTTATTGAAATATTTGTGACATGGCTGAGGGTACTTGTCATATTATAGATAAGTTCTAAATCATGAGCTATATATCCACATCTTCCTTTTACTATTATCTGACTCTTAATTATTAAAACTGATACTAATGTTGTACTTCTGGAATTAGTACCCACAAATCAAAAAAATACTTTACATAATAAATTTTCATTAAACTACTATTCATCAGAGTAAAGTTTCCTCTTGTATCTCTGTTTTACATGAGCCTCAATGTAATATCATGTGGTACATATAGATCATGTACAGACTAAATCTTTCCAGATATTGGGGGTAATATTGCAAGGCTGCAAAAGCTGATTGGAATAGAAAAAAGCACTAAGATTTGAAAATGTAAAAATGTTATTACTGACATATAAAAAGTGTTCAATAAGAAGATCAAAATATACAATAAAAAATGTATTTGTGTTGCTTGTAAAATTTTGGGTAAATCTTTGATTACCCTATTCATTTTTATTGCAAAGAAATTTTAAACTGATTGAAACACAGCTCCACAAGTATTTTTGATGTTCTTTAATACCTTCAGAATTCTTCCAGAAGGATTTTTGAAGAGAGAATGTTTTAAGTTCTAAATGAAGGAGCTAAAAAATGTATTATTCAAATATTTAGTAACAACTACTAGTTAACAAGAAATGGAGACGATAGACAGGCTTTATCTTTCTAGTAGTTACTGAAAAAATATGCGTAATCAGTAGAATCTCTTATTGAAGATTTTCTTAAAAATATTTGAATATTATTTTACATTTGTAGCGTGAACATGGTAAAAATTCAGAAATGAAGGATAAATAATGAATTAAAAAGCAGCATGAGGAAAATGTCATTTTTGATGAAAATTTTTGGATTAATTTCTACATAATAAACAAAAATTAGTCAATCGTCTTGAATAAAATGATCAAAACAATAATTTCTTTATAATAGAAGTAGTAAATATCTTCATCATTAAATTTAAAGAATGTTTCTAATGCATATTATAACATTTTGGTTAATATTTCTAACACAGAAAAATTATTATTAAAAGAAGCAAGAGTTCTAAGAACTAAGAAACATTTTTGTAGTTTTTTAAAACATCAAAAATACTGTTGTGGAACTCTCAAAGCCTGGCAGAAAGTGTATGCACTGAATTACACCACAGTTGATTTAGTTATCCAAATGCATACATTTGTTAGTTTCCACATTTTTGATGAATTTTGTTATGTTCTTTACTCACACGTACTGTAAGAGTAAGCCTTTTATAGATAATAGCATGGCAAATTTTGTAGGTACCCTCCACAACATGGTAAGTCAGAATGATTTTCTTATAGTGATACATTTTACGAAAATTTCCAAAATATGTAAGGAATCAAACAAAAAAGACCACTACATTTTTTTGTCTTATTTCATTACATTATTTTTGTACAGTTTTTTCATAAATGGGCAACTGTTAATTGTTTAATCAGTTTCATTTTAACACTGCATTTGCAGGAGGGGAAGACTTGGCAAGGATCTGTTTCTCATCAGTTAAATACACACATTCAGGTATTTGAGGAAAACAGCTCTTGCATATAATATTTCTATTTGTTTAACTGCAATCACATACTGCAGCATTATAGCACCTGAATCCTCATATGCATAACTGATAATGCATATATGAGCATGTTTACAGCAGGAAGGTAAGCACAGAATAACAAGAAGTCAAAATCAGTGCAAATACTGAAGTGACGTGAAGACATTGAATAGTATTTTTAATTTGTTTGTTGTAAAGCTCAGACTAGCAAAATAAAATAGTGATTTGAAAAGAAAAGTAAAATAAAATAAAAATGAAAAGAAGACAAAAAGGTTGAAAATTGTTACTAAATTGTATTCTGTGTCTCAAAAATTTTACTACAAATATAAATATTTGGACACAGAGAAGAGATAACTCCTCTAAGTGTTCTGAATTTTTTTCATGAACAGCAAATTTGCACTGTACAAGAAAATTTGATGAACTTGAATATTATCAGTTATTTAACAAAGTTTATTTATATGATCATATATTACAAATGTACATAGTCCTAAGAACGTAATATTTGAGAGTACAATGAAATATTTTTGGTATTGTATGTCAGGTATTAGGAAGAAAAATTTGGAGAACATCTGTCAGCATGTTGGCTTCATCAATTCATTTTCAGAAAGACTTCGATTGGCTTTTGATACATATGCAAGATATGATTTATGAATTTCAAATTTGTTAGCTTGGAAGTAAAAATATCACATCCTCTACATTGGAATTCAGTAATAAAAAAAATAAAGTTTGATGAATCATGAATCAAATAATTCATCATGATTTTTCATGATATTGCCTATCAGAAAAAATCTTTATAAATGTTGTAGCTGGAAGGAAAAGTATAAGGGTGAATGCATATTCTTTTTTGCATGTAACAGGCATTTTTTATCTTGAATAATTTTTTCATGGCTATGTTGTGTGCATGAGCAATAATATACTACCATCATTCATGTCCATTTTCCTTTCTTTTCTTCGGCATGAGCTCCCTTCTTTCTTTTAAAACATTGCCTCAATATGTTTTGTTCAACCTTCTTAAAAGCCTGAAATAATGTAGATATTCTTAATTTGTTGAAATGTTTCCTAACCATTTTCTATCAATTTTCCATTCAGTATCAGACATTGATGTTTAATTGTGCTTTATATTGTCAATTTTCATTACTTTTTATTCTTAGAATTTTTCATACATTTTTCCAAAATTATTCTTACATGGTGATGGGAGAGTAAGCTTTCTTCATAGTCATAATCATTAAAGCAAATAAGCATTCTGTAGGTAGTATCAACCAGTATTGTGGGGCAAATGCTAATTAATATTTATTAAACAATGAAAATAGTTGTTTGGTATTTAAAGAAATACTCATAACCCCACATAATATGAAGACAATTTGAGCACAGAATTATAATGATTCAGAGGAGCAAATTCTTCAAATTAAAAAAAAAAATTAAAATTTAGTACCTTACAACTTTGTGACTTTTTTAACAACAAAAAATATTTATAAATAGTTTCTATTCAATCTCATTTATACAGAAGAAAGTGGTTATAGTTTATATGGCATAGTTTTCCTGACACTATTAACATACCATTGGGTAGAAATGAGAAAATAATCATTGTGCAGAACTCCACAAATCAGGGGGAAATTATACAAGAAAACACAACTAATAGCAAAAACAAAAAACACATTTTTGGATGAGAATTTTTTTGTATAATAGTAGAAACAAATGCAAAGAAATAAACAATGGTAAATGTAAAAGTCATCAACTTTTTTCACTTGTGGATTCATAAATGTACAATGTAAACCAAGGCAAAAGCAAATAAACTTACGTTATCATATGAAAGAAATTTTGATCCCTTCTCAGCTATTACTAAAATGCCAAATTCAAAATATAAATGAAAAGAGACATGATACCGAGAGATAATGAAAACAACAGCAATAAATAGCTAATATTTATGTATTAGTAGTCTCCCAGTACATGATGAAGTCAACATGAGCACACAAGTTACAATTATTAGGTTGGCTCTATGAAGAGGAGATTTAATTTTTTATTAATTTTCTATCTGATTTGGCAGCAGACAAGATCAACATTAGAGAAAGGTCCCCTAAGATTTACTTCCAGATATATAAAAAAAAAGTATAAAAAGAATATCTTTCACTGTAGCTTTTAATGCAGTGCAGACATTTTAATTGTGTTAGGGTAGATGAGGAAATTAGAGCCAAGATTTTAACAATTTGAAAGTCTGGCATCAAGACTGTATGTGAGAGTGTGAACTTTGTAAATGTAATGGGGTTTGTGAAAGTCTCAAATTTCTCCAAAGAGGTATGTGACATGGTAACTTATTTATTTTAATTCCTAACTTTGCTATTGGCTCTAGTTTCCAAGGAAGTCAAATATCATACAGATCTTACAGTATTTTAGTAACTTGATAAATTATCAAATCAAGAGCTCTGAGGTAATAATAAATAATACATTTGAAAAGGAATAATATAATAAAAAACAACAAATTAATAAAGTGGCTTCTTAATTGCGAATAAAAACCAATATTGGTATTTATTAGGATATTTCTTAAATTGTCTCCACTGTTCCTTACATCAGAAAACAATAATTACAGGTAAGGGGAACTATTGACAAAAATTAAAGCAAAATTACGAAGATCTACTGAGCGGCACGTGCTACTCTGGGATTCATCTCCATTCCCGACATCCATCCAATTGATAAGGGCGGGGACCGAAACCATAGTGGACCTTTCTCTCGTGAGTGCACGCCTCACTCCGGACCGCCAATGATATGTGGGCAATGGGGGTGGGAAGGAGAGCTTTCGAGATCGGGCAGGGGGTCTGTACACTATGTACACGCGGCTAGAGTGGCTTCGATTGAGCTGGCGGCGACGGCACGCTGACGACGACGGCGACGAGGAGGCGAAGACACGGTCGGCGCCCTCGCTCGTGACGATGGCGGCGGCGGCGGTGGCAGCGACGGCAGCGACGGCGCTGGCGCCGGCGGCGTTGGAGCGAGGCATGAGGCGAGGCGAGGCGAGGCGGGGCGGGACGGGGCGAGCGGGGCGGAGCAGAGCAGAGCAGAGCGGGGGCCTACCTCGCGATCGGCTTCACGTTGTTGACGGCGCGAGCCACTTCCGCTTGGTACTCCTCCATCTGGCAGAAGATGACGTACCTGGCCGGCAGTACGAGCGCCTCCAGCTCGGCGCACAGGTGGCGCCGGATGATGTTCTTGGAGGGTGGGATGCCCAGCGCGGTGGCCATCGTGTCGCCGTTGAACGACGGCTCCAGCACGACGAGAGCGCCGTGGACGCCGCTGTCTGCGCAAAGCACACACTCTCACTAATACATGGACTAATGCCTTTAGGAGATCACAGAATGACAAAACTATGCCTCCGAATAATATGGAAATACCCAACATGTAACCCAAATCAATATAAAATAAAACTAGAACATTTCCATTTACCCATTTAATACTCAAATCTATATCTATACTAATATATAAAGATAGAAGTGCGTTGACTTACAGCGCGATAATCTCTGAATCAATACCGATGAAACTTTTGTGCTAGCTTCCTTTAAAAGTCTGGAGTGCTATAGGCTTTTACAATCACAATCATTTACAATCACAAACCTTAATATAATATTTACAATACAATTACTTTCCTGGACTTGTTTCGCCTAGCTTTACATCACACACTCAAGAGAGCATCAATGAACAATTGTTTAGCTGCGCTCCATCAGAGAATGGCGACTGAGATCTGAGACAGTTCATCTATGCACAGAAATTGCGTGACTATAGGAAAGGCCAAAGAGGTTATAATATATATTATAACCTCCTTGGAGATAACTGTTTGTTGTTTTTTTACTTTCATTTGTCTAATCTGTCTGAATCTAATCCTTGTTTTGTACAAGATAATGACAGATTTTCTTTACTCTTTATAGTAACTTAGATATTCATTTTCATGGTGCGTCTAGGTGTGAATGTATTAAATGTTGAAGAATCATGAAATTATTGGAAAAAAAATAAATCATTTTGCTAACGAGCTTGATGACGTAAAAATTTGTGAATGCACACGTGTTCCGCATGAAATAGTTACTGGGTTAGTGGTAGTAAATTAAGCATGATTATTACGCATTTGCGAGTTAAATGAGGAAAAGTGAACCATATTACAAATTATTTACGTGTGATGCCGAAACGGACGATTTTGTGTAGGGAAGCGATTTATTGTAGTGGAGAGTGAAAGCGTAGGATGGTGAAGAAATTATTATTTAAATTCAGGAGAGTAAGAAGTGTAATTGAAGAAAAAGAAGCATTTCAAACTTTTTTATAAATACGTGAGCAGAAAAACTTATAAAAAGGAGTAAATAAAAAGTAAATTAGGCAATTGATTGAATATAATACATATATTTCACACAAATAATATACATGAGTAAATATATTATTTTTTTGTTTAGATTTGCTTATTATTGTTAGTTATAAAGTGAGTGAAATTGAGGGGGGATCCCAATAAGAAAAACTATAAATATATATTTTTTAGTGAGAAAGTCAGGAACACATGGTATTTCTAGATGGGATCAAGGCAGAGAGGAGCTGAGCAGGGCGGAGCAGGGCGGGGCGGGAATGCAATAGAATAGAAGTAGGCTCCGCCGCAGGACGGAAATAGATGGAATTCCTTTTCCTGGCTAATAAATTATGACTATTCCACCCGTGAAATTAAAACTAATAGTGTTTAACTGCATATACAAAATCCCCTAATCAGGGCGATGTATCTCAAAATGTTTATCACTTTTTCTATCCGATTTTTCTTACCGCTCCTACCTACTGGCCAATCTTAAACTGTGACTCATCTATCTTAGGAGGCGGTATACATCGATCGCTATGTCGATGTCCAATAAACAGCGTATGTACTATAACATAACATCTGATTTTAACAAACGTTTTCACATATCCAATATTTGGCGCGGTTTGAAACTCTGTTGGGCATAATTTCGCTCGTGGAGTAGTCCTATTAAATACCAATTGTGGTTTGGAAATTCTCAGATAAATCCCCTTCTTGTTTCGTGAGTCGGAGATTTATCGACAATTTCCAAAGCACTCAGATAAATCCCCTTCTTGTTTCATGAGTCGGAGATTTATCGACAATTTCCAAAGCACTCGTATTATCAATGACAAATACCCCAGCAAAGCGGGGTACTTTCGTTAGTAATAAACACAATCTACACAACGAAACATTTCAGGCGGAAAAACATATACCTATGTGTTTCTTAAAATATTACCAATAAATAATTCTTTTCTGATTTGGTTTCAGAAGCATAGATTCCCGTAGAAAGTGTTTTTTGTTTGTTTTTGTTTATAATTTTCTGATTTCATCACAGCCTGTAAGTCGCTGAGACCCCCCTCTGCATTTCCATGACTCTAAGCGCTGCTGTAGACTCGGGATGTTCTTTGTGCCATTTGCGAACAGTGAGTGTACTGCTTTTCTGACGGACGGCTACCAAGGTCAGGAGCGATAGCAGGGCAGCGCCTGGTCCTGAGCTGTCATAATACGCATCCCGTTTCTGTCAATTCACAAATTTGCATTTTCGTCGTTTAAATCCTAAAGAAGAATTAGTCGAATTTTTTGACAATACTTAGAAATATCTTCAGCGCTTCGACACACTTTAAGCACAACATTCTGGACGTTAAGATAAAATAAATTGGCATGATACTGTGGAGTATCGGAGTGTTTCTCAGCAAAATAACGTAAATAGTTTGTTCACCTAATTGAGATGTCGGTAGTATATTATTTTTCCAACTGAAATGACTCACCCTGCTTACATACTATAGGGGTAACTGTCGTACATAGGGACAGCTGTACCTAGAGACAAAGCATGTTTTCGAGGAGTCTGTGAGAAATTAGGTTTGTTATTTAATAGATCTGATGTGTGAAAATTAAATATTGTAGTAATGAAGTAGACCTACACTTACTACCACAGAATGTAGTTATTTCAAGTTGTATACTTCTTTCCTAGAGGTAACTTATAATTAATAGTTACCTTGTTCATTCAAGATTATAGATTGTTGTATCAAGAGAGAGTGGCTGTTAAAGTACCTAGAAACGTCCCTAGGTCCCTAAGAACGTCCCTATGTACGCAAGTGTAGTATTAAATTGAATTAGGAATTCTGGAACTCAAGAAAACATGTGCAGGTGATCTTCTCCCCCGTACGTCACACTGTTTTCTTTACTAAATAAATTTAAAGCTAATTAAATTTGTTTCATGATGAAATTGATTCTCTAATTCAAAATTAATAAAAGTTTTGCGACATGTAAATGTGACGTGAAGAACACAAACGTTAAGCTCCCTGGCCCATCTGTGTTCGGTTTTTCTCAAAGGCAGCAAAATTTGTTTTTCCTTTACAAGTTATAATCTAGGGTAAAGTCCTTTAGGTTTAAAAAATGCTAATGTTCTATCCTATGAAGTTGATATAGAGGACAGAACATAAGTTCCAGAACCAAAAAAAGGTTTGGTTGTAAGGGCAACCATTTTTTTCCTTTGCACACTGCTTATTACGACCTAAAGATCATTTTATTCAATGGATGTTGTTATGTGATTCTCTCTTTTATGGTTGTGGGATGCCGGGCTCACTGAATGCGAAACAGTGGTCCCGCAGGCGATGGCACGCCGCCTATGTCACCCACCTCCCTGCTTTCCCTTCTGGGGAGCACGGGCTGCTAGCTATTCGGAGGCGCGCCGAAGCGAGGAGCGCGAAGCGAGGACTCGCCTTCAGCGTGAGACACTACACTAGTGGTGCTAAAACTGCACGAAAGTTTTCGCCCGTATTTTCACGCAAAATTACGCGAAAAACACTGAGATTTTCGAAAATTTTACATGAACTTATTTCAAAATTTATCTTCAAGGAACAGATTTTATTAAAGAATAAATCTCTATCTTTAATACTTTAGTTGTTGGGAGACTCCTAAAAAAATTGAACGTTCGCAATTTTGAAAAATAAGTAATTTTAACGAATATGAGACCTGCGCCATTCTCTTAAAACGACCTTTACACTTTTCAACAACAAATTTAATAAAAAACGACATTTGTTTCCAATTTTAAATATCTAAGAATTCTTATGTAAAGTACTCCCCAAAATTAAAATATCGGTTTCAAATTCCATGGGATGCAACATCAGCTAGATCGATTGGGGATATTAATTTTGGAGAAAATAGGTTGAACGGTTTATCCACTAACGTTGTTCACAGACTGTCGGACAGACAGACGTTTTGTTGTCGTTTGATTTTTCGGGACAAGGACCTTTTTCTGCCGAAAGTTCTCTGTTTTTTTCGCGCAGCATTACAAACTTTCTCTCTACTCCGTACTGAGACAATAAAAGGGGAGCTGACAACCGACTGGAGTTCAGTTCTGTACAAGTCCAGTGCACGCCAGTGTGTGCAAGCCGGTGCACCAGAGGAGAGGCGGAGCCCCGCCAAACCCCGCTTCTTCAACAGGTGCAGGTCGAAATCTGATCTGACATTTTTTCTATTGAAAGATAGTAGAAAGACAGTGAAAAAAAGTAGCTGCTGTCACGCACTTGAAGTTACTGGAAAAATAAATGATTTGTTCAGTTTTAGACACGCTGTTTTCTCTAATGCCATTGGTAACCCTAGCTGCAGGGTATGATTCACATAGTGCTGTCATTGCTCGCTAGGATCGCACCTCACCGGTTATGTCTGGCAGTTCGCTGGGCAGAAAACAGTAGTTCATTTCTGGGAACATTGTGTCCTGGTGGGCTAAATCTGAGGATATATTTTGTTCATTCGTCAGTTAGTTACTAGAGATTAATCGCAATTAGTACAACAATTTATTATTTTGGACGATTAATAGACACAATTAAATCGATTATATTTAGGCCAATTAATCTATACATCAATTAAAATCTACGATTATACAGTTCGGCAATTATAATTATTTTTTTAGACTTAATTAAAAATATTATGTTATTTGGCTCAAATCGAGCCTCATCATAAGTACACACTGACAAGATATACTAATTTGTGCCAGGTCGAGTTTGATTTGGGCGGCCCTGATAGCGATGATTGGCTCACTGATTATAATCATTTAAATCAACCAATCATTGGCTTCCGAGTCGTTCAGAACCCTCTTGTCGAATTAAACTATGTTAATCACAGGTATTGGTGTTTTCGAACTCACTAGGTGCACCAGCATAGATAATAATCCAAATGACTTTTAACCGGGATGTACTACAAACGCATTCAACTGAACCACCATAATTATTGTGTTTGTAAAAAGGAATAGAAGGTTGATAAACTTCACTTACATGCCCTGGGTACACTGTAATATTTCATTGGGTTTCTGTTTCTCGTAGTTGAAGTAGGGCCCAGAAGGGTGCTGGCAAAATTTATTTGGTTAGGTATACCTTTCCATTTGCCAAACGAATAACAGGATCTATAATAATTTGTCACACTTAAGTGCAACATTTATTTGCGTTCCAAAATTCAACAATTTGATGTTTTAACGAGAGATACAGGATCTCTTACGTATTCATTTCATACTTTAATCTTTTCCTTCTCATTTTCGTTTACAACTTTCTTTAATGTTGTCTCTACTATATGGGGTAATTGTTTTCCTCTTCAAATTTATAAGGTTCTAAACTTCATTCCGGAGCTGTTTCCGCCATTGTTCTTTTTCTTCCCTGAACGTGGGATAACTCACGCCGGACGACGGCTGATATGCGATACACCAATAGTATTCCGATGAATCTCGTGCGTGGGCGTCAAACATCTCGACGATAAGGATCTCATACTCTGATAAAGAGAGAGCAATTATTTCGCATTAAATTAATTTACTACTTGAATACATTATCCGTCTTCTAATTCAATGCTATCTCTGCATGAAAGGCTTGCGGTGTTATTCAAAATTTCAGTTGCAAACATCGCTGTCGAGGTAAGGTTTACATTCTATGCTTTCTGTGCCCGGTGATGGTTTTATCTGGACATCTTGCTGTTGTGTGATATATATGTGTGACTAATAATCAGTTATTAGTATACCAATACGATTATTGAGGGCTTAAAGGAATATATATATATATATATATATATATATATATATATATATATATATATTGTATAATGGGTTGTATATATCGTTTGAGATTCTTCCTTGGCAGTACTAAAGATGTAAGAGAGAAAAAGTAATATATAATGTGTAATATGTAGTAGCAAAAATGCCGATCAAAACCAAAAAATGGTTTTCCAAAACGTAGCACGCATTCTGTTCAAGAACAACAAATAAGGTTGTGGTGTGGTATAGCACTGCAATAAATTAAATATTTTAACATAACCGTCTTCATGTGAAGTCAGTAGCGCATCGAGTATGAGAAATCAATCCGTACGCGGCGTATCAGAACGGTGGAATATGAAATTCAAATATTTGTATATTTCAGTCCAAATTGTAACTGTCTCATTGTTTTGGGAATTTTCCTGGTCCCTGGGCACCTAACGAAACCGTAGACACCTCTCACCTGGACGAAGGCTGCATAGTTTTCTTTTAATTTATGCACTTACCTAATTAATGTAGATTAAAGAGGAATTATTTTACAAAATATAAGTAAGGATCAGGTTTTTTGATCGACGAAGAAATAATTTACGATATTAGGGATTCAACGAAGCCGAATCGTAGTACAGTGGTCCGTCAAAAAGCTCGGCCGAAAACGTCCCAATTGTATAATTCTGGATTTCTGAAGAAAGTTAAACAGGAAAACAGATTAAGAAAAAGTGTCGCCAGCACGGCTGTCACCTACCTTTGAGGTTGTCGGCGTATTCGCTGAGGTCGATGTTCCGCGCCCAACGGATGAACCGCTGGTTGGTCCACACCAGGGGGTCGGCGTCCACCGTCTCGCACTGGTGCCGCCGCACTGCCAGCGCCTGCACAGCCGACGAAACCCAGCATCGGTACATAGCTAGTATATGAGCGTTACATATGATGTCTCAGAATAAATGCTACGAACTTCTGGGGCACATAGGGGTGTCCAAGATGATGACTTTTAGCCGATGAACATGCGTTAGGAAATACCATGTGATAGAAAATTACACGAGTCTCATTTGTCCTTGACTGGTAGGCATTGGGGTCCAGCAATGAAATTTCGAGTACGTGCCTAACACCGGTGCAAGATGAGTTGCCTACCAATCAGGGGCAAATGTCACTCGTGTAAAGTCTTAATATGAAACTTCCCACCGTAATGTTTATTGGCAAAAAGAGATCATCTTCGACCCCTCTACACATTCTAGACGTTTGTGACAAGAGGCCAATATCCAAAATTGCTGAGAATATGGCTGATAAAAGAAAAATAATAGCGCTGCCGGCATCCGCTGTTCGCTAATTCCTCGGACTCGAATGTCCAATAAGGTCATCTTGTGATTGCTGCCTGGGAGAAAATGGCCAACCATCACGTATTTCATTTTACCATTTTATAATTGCCCATGAAACCGCAATATCAGTTATCTACAGTTGGTTACCAATGTTCAGTTAGGGATATAGTACTCGAGAAAGAGAAATATTATCAATGGAAATACAATAATCTGATGGTCATATTTAAGAACAGACAGCTGACTCATGAGAAGAATTAACGAGAGTTATGAGAGGAAGTATATATGGATGGATAAAAAACGAAATCTATTTTGCATTGGTTTGTGTTGAGAAGGTGCTAGTAATCGTTTTATCTTAAAATAGTCGCCCTGCTTGTCCAAACATTTTTTTCTCTGGTAGCTCAAGTCATCAAAGGAGGGATGGAAAATATCAGGGTGAAATTGGTGAAACCACAAACAAACCCATTTACCGAATGGAAAAATGAACTATACACCGTTTTTGAATTTCCTGGCACCAAAATGCTTCAATGGTCCGTAAAAATGTCTCTCCACGGCTTATATTAGTTTGCATTGCGACTTCTCTTCCATTTCCTTACAATGCGTTACTCATTTCAATATGTGTATGAAATAACTTCCCAAAAATAATTAGGAAACGCGTCCCAATAATATTGCTGTTACGAGTCCTGCAGACCTCAATACCCTCAAAAGGAGACCTAAAATTGTTTGGACGTTAGATGACCCACCATACAAGACGAATCTTGGAAATTGTATGCCTAGCACTAACCAACATGCTCTCAAAGTACGGGCTGACATGGGAGAGGTATCTAAAAGGTAAGTAACAGATCACACACACATGAAAAATGTCCTCCTTTCTACCGCTGTTACCTCACGTAAACCTGCGACTCTAGGCACCTTCCCTGCAAAAATTAACTTTGGTGCTCACTGTTACGAGCACCTTACGCCCTTTTGTCCGGATGACGAGGCTCCGGAGCCGCCCTACTTCTCCCGGAGAAATCGTGTTCTGCGTCAAAGCGGCGCTTCTGACTAGGGATGCGACATCGATAACAAAACATCGATGTTAGCAAACATCGATGTTGAAAATTAAAACATCGATGTTAAAAATTCATCGACTAAAAACCGTAGATGTTTTTCAATATCAATGTTTTTAGACTGGTTTAGTAACATCAAACATTACATTCGTGTGTATTAAAATTTAATTTGGCAGTGTTCATGTTTATCAATTCGCTGAATAACGTTACGAGAAAAGGGGCAGACGCTGCGCTCGCAGCGGATTTGTTGACCACATCTCAATGGGCGAAATGAATATGAAGAAGGAGGAAGTACAAGGGCATGGAGACGTCCTAGACGTTCGTGATATCGTGCGAGAGAGTTTGGTCGATTAAGTAAGTGCAGCATTCCTTGGGTTTCAACACTTGATTAACAGTGTTATTAATTATCAGTTATTATTTCATATTTAAAGTTACAGTATTGTGATCATAGAACTTTTTTCATTCAGAAACAATACAACGGAAAAGGAAAAACATCGATCACAAAAAATCAATGTTAAGAAAACATCAGCATTTATACGTCGTTGTTTCTACAAAAACATCGATATTTTGAAAACGTCGACATCGATGTCGTATCTCTACTTTTCACCGCTCCGCTCGCCCATCCCCCATTCGCGCGGTCTGCCGGGATCGTCTTCCCGCCCGGGGCTTATTGCCCTTTCCACAGTTCACAAGATCAGCTGATTTCGTAAATAGCTTAGTTCAGAATACAACAAATGTGTAGGGCATTTACAGGGAGGGGCGAAGTTGGTCAGTTTTTGCAAACGAACTTGTTTTGGGAAATCACATATAACGGAGATACACACGACATTTTTGACATTGGCAGTCTATAACATAATTTCCTACGACTTTGAGATTGTATTGTAAATTCAAGGTAACTCAAGCAAGGTAAACACTTGTTATTTTGCATATTATTACTTATGGTTTAAGGATAAAAAAGGTTTTTCGAATATAACGTCTCCATAATCAATAGACTATTAAAACAGACCGTGTCGCGATAGGAATGTGGAAATAGAGGAACGACATCTGGCGGTACGATTCGGTAAATTTTGCGGCGCGCAATTCGAATTCGCACATTGAGTGTTCGAAACGGCGGCAATCGCTCTTAATCTCTTGTGCAGGAAGTCGACGCCGCGCTCACGGCACTACCAGGTTCAACTAAATCCACTATCAAGTAGTAAAAAACCGAAAATGTATATTTTATTACGAATAACATATGTAAAAATTATACAAAATATTTGTGTATATTTGTAATATATTACAAATATATAAACATATTTTCACAATATTACAAACAACGTATGTGCACTGTACACATTATTGGTAAATACTAATAATCGAGGAAAAGGATATACTAATAATAAAAATATGACCGACAGGTGAGGACATCCCTGAAGAGATAAGACCGACCTCTCTGCTCCCGTGTGAGAGGAATGCAAGATCTCCGTAGACAGGCTGGGCTCCGTACGAGCCATTCCTGGGAACGCAGTGGAGCTAATACAAGTATTGGATAATACCAGGACGCGATGTGCATAAAATCTATAAAAAATTCAGAGGAACGAAACTCGATTCTTTCAAGGGACGTGACACCCAGTGCCAACAATTGCCATTAGCCAAAAATTTCATCTTCACGGTCGTGCTAAAATCCCATTCGTAGACTGCTTGAAAACCGTGGACGCCTGTTTGAGAACTAAGAATGAAGGAAATTTTGAAATGTAAGAAACGTTCAATTTAGTGTTAAAATAAATTATTAACAAGGGACATTGATCTCGTCCCTTCATTTTTGACGAGTTACCTCTAGTGACCATACTGTTTTATGTCTTCATTATTACTTTTCTTTAAAATTAATTTCTTCTTGCGCGGCATTTCTGTCTTTCAAAGGTTTTGTTATAAGGTTTGTATAACATTATAGGATGAATCATCCTCAGATCTAAGTGTCAATACACTTCCGGTAGGTATGTTCGATTGACAGGTAAAATGAGTTTGTAATAGTACATGTGTGTGTGAGAGAGAGAGGGGTTGAGAGTGAGCGAGTAGAGTGAAGGAGAGAAAGAGAGGGGAATAAGAGAGGGTGAGAGAAGTAGAAAGAGAGGGGGGAGAGAGGAAGATTGAAGGACAAAGAGAGGGGGAGAGAGACGGAGAGAGATGGAGAGAGAGGGGTGATAGAGGGAGAGGGAGGGAGAGAGAGGGAGAGAGAGGGAGAGAGAGGGAGAGGGAGGGAGAGAGAGGGAGAGAGAAAGAGAGAGAGAGGGGGAGAGAGAGAAAGAGAGAGATATTCTATTTTTAGATGGTTAAAGGAGGTTTGAAAATGTCCTTAGGGTAGCGTGAGTGGATTGTGGATTCTGTGTGGTTGTCGTACCTACATGGTAAGTTCAATTGTTTCATTTGACATCAAAACGTGCAAAATCGTGAATATGCATACATAAAACCGTCAAATAAAATCATTTTTTGTGAAAGCTGGACAAAAAGCTCAATGTCATTTCCAATGGACGGGTCATGCTCTGGAAGTTTGTCTACCTGCCCAACAACAGTGTAGGGTGGGCTGCCACCCAATCAGAGACGCTTGTGAAAAAAGCCACATGTGTAACTTCGTCCCCTTATTTCCCCCGACTTATGTCCCCTAACATTTATTCTGAACCATCCTGCGACGCGTAGACTTGCGGACTCGTTGAAGGGGGCGCATTCGCCGCGTTGACTGCACTACCCGCCCACATCCACCCTCCTCCGCAAGGCAAACTCACTCGCGGCACGTCCGTTCTCGAGAATGACAACGACATGTAGCCGTATGAGAAACCGTCAAATGTCTGTGCTTGCGACCGGCGCAGTGCAGCGGCGTGTCTAACCCGCCGGTGTCTTACTTCGGAAACATTACTTCATTACTATGAAAGTTGCCGAAAAAGTCCGATGAGCTATTCTTTTTCCACGATAAAGCAGGCCAGCTAAGAAAATTGGAACATTTCAACGTATGTGAACAACGAATACATGAATTCTGAAATAAATAGAGGCCTATATAACTTTACGGAACATACAAAATAATAAACACTAGTTCTAGGTATTTTTTACTAAATGTACTTTCCTTTAATTACATGTAAATCACGTGTGAGGGATACCGGGGAAGTCTGATAGCTATAGCTGGAAATGCAGAACTGTGTCCTTGCCAACATTTTTGTTTATTGTAAGAGCTATTTTGCGGGGTCACGGCCGTCGGTCCAAGTTCCGCGCGCGTGTGTAGCTCAGGCTTCCTTTGAAGGCCACCCCCTTCCGGGTCTGGGGGAGCGTTACAAGCCGGCGCGCCCCGTGGGCGTCCCCTCAATCGCCTGGGCGTGTCTCTCACTTTCTCCGCCAGATGTCGGTCTCAGTTAGCCAAGGACTCAATTAATCCATATCTAGGTGCATACTTAAATGTTAAAATGAAGGGGTCTGAAAGAAGGAAAATTACAACCTTCAATTCAATCACTAGTTTTGTGGATGTTATACGTACGTAAGAATGTGTATATATGAAATTTACATATTTAAAAGAGGAACTAACACATTTCTAATGAATTATATTTATTTTGTATTTTTATTCATCTTAACACGCATCTCTATATGGTTCAAAATCCATACATTTAGCGTTCGCATATAAGAAAATAATAGGGACATGTGATGATGAAGAAGAGTCCAGAATTTAAACTACATTTTTCAAAATATCAAAAAGTCGAGAAAAATAAGGGTATAATATTTGCAGCTTTCATCACAGATAGAGAGAAGTAAGTGATGGTAAATCGACTCAAACGAATATTTGGAAAGGACAAACGCCCAGAAAAGCGATCGGATGTGTTGGTACTCACCTGCCGGTCGTACTTCATCATTCGAAGTAAATGGATGCCGTGAACCACTGAAGCTTGGTGGAACTTCCGCGTCACACCAAGGAATTTCTCCAACTCCTTTTTGCTCAAGTGGTCCAACATTCGCGCATCAACCATGTTGGTAGCGAAGTTTTCCGAATACTGGAAATGAAAATGATTGCATAATTACGTTATTCATTAACTTCCTATAATTCTATCCTAATTAAAAATATATACACTGCTGTGATAGTTTTAAACTACATCGGTATACTAATAAATTAACAAGTACTTTGAACCGTTGTCCCCTGTTTGACACAACCCGCTCGACGTATATGTTTTAACCCACGCCATGTTGCAGCGACTCCTGCAATCATCATTATTCACAGTTAGCTGAGAAATGTAGGAATATGAGGTGAAGAAAGAAGTGAGACGACGAAGACGACGGAGATGGAGAAGAAGAAGAAAGTGACGATGAAGAAGAATGAGAAGAAGAAAACGTAAAAGGAAACTACGGCAAAAGATGAAGAGAAATAAAAAGAAGGAAACGAAGAAAATGAAGACGAGAAAAATGAAGAAGATGGAGACGAAGAGAAGAAAACGACGATCACGGTGAAGAAGATGGTGAAGGGAATGGAGATGGGGGAAGAGGAGATGGAGACAGTGTTGAAGACGGCGGAGATGCGGGTGACGAAGAGAGAATGGGAAGAGGAAGAAGAAGAAGAATATTTTTCAAGAAATACCGATATGAAGAGTAATTGAACTACTTTCAAACTTACAAGTAATTACACGTCTCGTTTGTGTCGGTTGGGTGCCATTGCTCATTCTGTAAAGCATAAGGAGAGACTCCCTGCAAATCATGTTTCTTTGCAAGGAAGATCGAGCGCAGTTTCTCACGCTTTGCTGTCGAGATACCTGACCGCATAGAATCACGGCACGCTATACGTCATGATGCCAGATGCGGAAACGATTCCCCAACGTCTCTTGTGTGTTAGGGAAATCTGCAAGCTGTATTAAGAATGGCCCAATATGAAACCTTAAAAACATTATCTTCATAATTCGTCATTGTAATGTTAACAATTTTCATAATTCCTCTATGACTTTCTGACAAATATGACAACCTCAAACGAGCAATAATAGAACGCAACATGCATTTCACAAATAAAAACATTAAATTTCACTAACGTGAGGCATAAAAAATTACTCTCCTTAGTTTTAGTTTCAGATTTGTATACTCAGACGAGCAATATTATTACTTTCCAATACACGACTCTTGGAAATGAAGAGGAATACTTTGATTAAATAATGTATATTTAACATTTCTATAGTTTCAGTCGAGTCTCAAGATGCGAGGTACGAACGACGGACATTAATCACGAATAATTCCATAAAATTTCTAATTTAAAATCAAGGGGAAAAACAGTCATCTCTCTGGCCTTTCATTGTGTCTCTCCTTTCAGCTTAAAATCTGAAATGTCTGTGACACAATGAAGGCAAAAACAGGAACTCCCCATGTGAGAGGTGTATGGTGCCAGTGAGTAGATGTATTGTCAATGACTCGTCAGAGAAAATCAAGAAAAAATAGACTATACGAGCTTTCTGAAAGATTCTCGTTCACTGCTTTTTTCAGCTTTGCAAATCTTCCTCCACTCAGGTGCACTGCAGAACTAATGGGAAATACCATGGGGTAGCTCTTGTCCTTCAAAGCATCCGTCCCTGAGGGTACACGGAATAGTGTCACCCAGGACGCACCGCTCCCTCTTGCCCTCACCGAGCTACGCCTTTCTTCAATACATCTTTTAGTGTTATTACAAGCTGTTGCTATCGGACGAAAAAAATGATTTAATGATTTACATACTTGGGTCAAAATAAACGTAATGGTAAATCAGAGAGGCTTTAAAAAATGCTACTTGCTCGACATCGCTTCCTTTCAAGGTTATTCATACGTGAGTAGTTCACTTTAGGGATAATTATCCTCATGGCTGAACCAACTCACTTTCATTTGATGCTGTTCTTTCGAGAGATACATAGATTTAAATTGGATTCACAGTGTTGTACTATTCGTCTATTGCGGTTTTAGTGAAGATTAAAAATATTTTTCGGGTCTGAACTTGTTGGTGAATTTTGGTGGCAGGCGCGTCGGGCGGTGTTTCTTAGAAGTTGTTGGATGGTTTTAATATGTAGTCGTGGAGGAGTTCGGGTTTTAGATCTCTGCGTAATTGTTGGTTACTAATGCATCATGGGCTTTTGGTAATTTTTCTAAGACATATATTTTGGATTATTTGTAACTTATTAATATGACAGTGTGCTGCCTTTGTCCATACGGAGCATGTGCAAATTAGCGATGGTCCTATTATTGATTTGTACACAGATTTCCTACATTCTATGCTTACAGATGATTTGTGATTTGATGTGGGATAGAGTTCAAATATTTTTGCTGATGATGTCGGTGGTGCGTTCTTCCCATGTTAATTTTATATCTAATATGAGTCCTAGATATTTGATTGATATTTGGTTTGGAAGCCATTGTATGTGTGTATTTTGGATGAGTAATGGGAGTGGTGATTTGGGTTTGCGATATGTGAACACTTGGTTTGTTATTTTGCAGCATTGATCTTGATTCTCCATTTTTTTGTCCATTGGGTAAATGTTGCTAGATTGTTTTGTAGGTTGTCGAGGGCGCATAGCATATTTGTATGAAGTGAAAAGAGCTGTGTCATCTGTAAAAAGAGTATATTCTTGTTTCACAATGAGATTGACTGTTTTTGCGTTAAATAGTGGTGATAATAATAGTAATAATGATAAAAATAATTATTATAATAATATTAATAATAATAATAATATTAATGATAATAACGGCAGTAACGTACACTTGGTATTATCAAATGTTTTTCAAAACCCATGGAGGAAATAGGATTGTTACATTAAATTTGTAGGAAATATATTTTGCGTGATTGTTTGAAATGGGAAGTAAGGGAATAAAAATTAACGAAAAAAACAGAAAAAAAACAGAAAGAATACAGGCCGTCCGGTGCCGTCATTCGCGTAGGCGGAGGAGTGGAGGGAAACCGGCCCCGGTGCAGGGGCACGGGGCAGGGAATTGGAGGGGGAGCGAGGGGGGTTGTGGCGGTCGATCTTCATGGGGCCGCCCGAAGGGAAGGTGGATGGAGAGGGCAGCGGGAGTCAAGCCCAAAGGCCCACCCAGGCGCTGAAGGGCAGGGTGGAGGACCGGCTTGGGCGGCGGGAGTCCATCCCAAGGCCCGCCCGAGCAAGGTGACGGGTGGGGGGAGGGTGGGAAGCAAGGAGGGAGGGAGGGGAGGGGCGCGGAAGTCGATCCCAAGAGCCGCCCGAGGCGAAGACGTCGGGTGGGGAGGGTGGGAGCAAGGAGGAGGGGGAGGGGAGGGCCGGCGGGAGTCGATCCCACGGGCCCGCCTGTGGCTGCGCGTGGGCAGGGCGCGTCGCCGCTGTCAAGGCGCGCGGCTGCCTCCAGGGAGGCGCCACACGAACGAAATGCCAACCCCACTCGCGCCACTCGGAGGGCCGTGGCTTTCGAAGGTTGTAAATCCTTCCCTCATTATGCCTGGCCGCACAGCTGAACTTCGAAGCGAACGGGAGAATGTGCAATTCAAGGAAGGGACACCAACTTCATAGGTGGATCTCAACGAAGACCACGCCGCTGATGGCGTAAGAGATTTTAAGTCGAAAGATTAGCGGTAGAAATCAATTTTGTTGTTTGAAATTGGTGGTTTCGTGTTACATTGATGTGTTTAAAAATATTTTTTCCATTAAATTTTTTTTTTTTGGTGAAAGTGAAAAGTAGTTTTAATATAGCTTGTTTTGTTTCGTTTATTTTCAGCTATGTTAATTGCAATTTATTGAATTAATTTATTGATTGTGTTAACTGAGTATGTATTGTATGAATGGAAATTAATTAGAGCAGAGTTGAACGCGAGTAAATGTTTTGGGTGGGGAAAGGGGTAATATACGCAACCGGGGATGATCTATCCATGGAATGCGAGTTCATATTAGCTACGGCGGCTCCTTTACAAATACAGTTTATTGAAACGGCTCCTAAGAATCACTTTTAATATAAGTTTCTATTATTATAATAACTGGTTTTTCTTCTCATCAAAAACTTAAAAATCTTAAAAAAACATGTTCAAATTAATTAATTAAGTGGTCCCTTCCTGAAGCCCCCTCAAATTTGTGCATTATTGTGCATCATGATAGTTAGGTAAATGAAGAGGTCGGAACTCTGAAAGGACAAATGACCAATAAGAAAAAAAAAATTAAAAATCCAAAATGGACAAGCCCCAACTCATCAATGGGCAATTTTCAGACGACATTTTTTCTTTGACGAACACTTAATGAAATATTTTGAAACAATATCGTCTCATTGTTTCATAAGAAACGAAAATAAGCTTGGGAAACTGTCAACGATATATCAAGTAAATCATTATAAGGGATAAAAATATCCAGGTGTTTTGTTGCTATGAGTCTCAGAATCATATTAATAGATATTCATAATTTGCATTACGCTGAGGAATGAGATCGTTTTGCACAATTTATAAGATTATATTGTCAATAATCCGGCAAATATTCTATTGCTGAATAAGGAACACTATCGAGGAGAATCAAAAGGTTAAGGTTTAACTTAAAATTTTGTAGATAATGCTAGAATGATTTGGCATGTGAACATGGAATTCGAAACACACATTGCCGTCCTGCGTAACTCAAAATACAAATTAAGAAACTATGGATACTTTAATGTTTTGAAAATATTTTTTTAAATGAATTCAATTCTTATAATTTCATTGTACAGCGAATAATTTAATTTGATAGCTGATTGTTAAAATCATGGAAAGAGTTGAAACATTTCGGAATTAAGAAGAAGAATTCCAAAGTTTTCTGTATGCGTTTTGAAACATTTAACATTCATTGAGCTGATCTAAAGTGGAGTTGATATTCGATATTTGCCCGTCCTCATGAGGAAAATTACGCCTCTGCACGCGCCGGTGTCTCTAGTGCAGATTGCTCCTCTTCCATCTCTCACGTTTCAGTTGGGGATCTGATTTCGGGAAGGCGTTGGCTTACGTTACCTCCGTATTTGTGCTACTTTGTATTGTTGAATATGCAATTTTAAGACCATTACCAATTGCTCATTTCATTTAAATGCATTTTAACAATAAGAGGCAAGTTATAGCAGTAAGAAGCAATCTTAAAGTAGATAATATTTCTTTAAAAATATTGAATACAATGCATATCTTTGTTGGACCCTTACGAACATACGTTAAATCATTTTCTTCACCCTAGGATGATCAGATCAATCTAACGTCAGCATTTGTTTCTAGGGTATCTTAATCTTCGGAAGTTCTGTTGTTACTGTCTTATTTATTATAAACTCTGAGATTTTTTAACTTTCAATGTTTGTAATTGCATTTTGACAAAAATAAGCTGTTAAAATCGCGGGGACACTCTGATCTCATGCGTCTATTTTTTCCATTATTATATTATTATTATTATTATACATGTTGTAGGCCCTCAGGTAGTCTTGGTCAACGTGCTAGCTTTCTAAGAAGCAATACTGGGTTCCATTCCCGCCCAAGGCAAACATGAAACTGTAGCTTTCTATTACAAATAATCTTCGTTTCTATAGCTGTGTGACGAAAGACAAAGCTCAAGAAACTTACGTACGATGATGGCAATATGTCATGCTCGCCACATTCTCCCTTACCCCCAAGTGATGATAATAAATAAAAACAGGGCCCGGGCTTGGGAACACGGCTAGCTGGCAATAGTCCGATTAACCCGGCCTCAGATACATATATACATTTCACTGGTTGATAGAAATTGTGTTATACAATCGCAGTGACAATAATGGCATAAAATAGCTTATGAATTTATTGTAAATGAAAGTGAAATAAGAGCAGCAATTTCCGAATCGTTTGGGAGTTTAAGTCAGGCACCTAAGGAAGAGAGAAGTGGTTCTGATGAGGACGGAAATCACGTCGTATCAGAATTAACAGGTAATTTTGCCCCAACAGGCAACCCTTCTGGGTTGCGAAAATTGGTGAGAACCCTCTAGTGTTAAGGAGTTAGAAAGCGGCGTTTTAGTGTTATGCACCGTGGCTACATGTGTTTCAACGAAATGTGTGTTGACAGTTGTACATGCGCCTGTTGTTTCCCCTTAATCATAATCTAACAACTTAAATATTTTCGACTAAAATCTGTTTCATGCTGGTCTGGGAATAGTTTCCTACCTAGCTGAAGACAAGCACGGGTTTCTGTTTCGATGATTTTTAATTCATAGATGGTACACAATAGTTATAATTCTTAGAGTATATACAAACAGCCCCGGATTATAACTATCAAGTTGCACTGTCGCATGCGACGGTAGCTGCAAAGTACAAAGTTTGTGGATTCGAATCGCACATGTTTTAAGCATCTTATAATGTGGAAGGCAACGGAAAATTACCATACATCCAAATCATCTAAAAGGTCATTTAATATGTAAGCGGCAAAAAAGAGGCACATCAGGAAAGCACACTAAAATCTAATTACTGGTACTCTAACGTTTTGTACGCTGTGCGATCCGAAGGAGTATCCGAAGGAATGTTCAATTTGTGGTACCCAATCTTCTTCAATACAAAAAAGAATATAAATTACTACTATTAATAAATGCACCTACAATGAATAAGTACATTTACATGAAAACCCGGAAATCCTTCTTAGACCACGAACATTTAAAATAAAAATTGTACTACACAGCTGCACTGAAAGGCTGAGCATACGTGGTGCCCGCGCGTTTAACACAGGAAGAGGCGCGCGTGGAGGGGGCTGTTGTAGGGCAGCGGCAGGCGCCCGCGACAGCGCGCCTCATAAAACGCCGCCGAGACCTTTGGCCAGGAGGCGGAGGGTGACGCGGGGTTGCGGGAGGGCGCATGGGAGGCGGGTTTCCAGGGCGGGGCGAAGGTGGGCGGGGCCGGGGATCGCTGCCGCGGGCGAGGAGGGCGATGCTGAGGCGGTCGCGGCGAGGGTTGTGCCCGGGAGGGCGGCGCTCGCCGCGAGGGGTGGTTGCTAGCGAGGGTAGTCACTGGCGAGGGCGCGGGCGACGAACGGAGGGGGATAATGAGGCAGAGGAGGAGAGGGCGAGAAAACTGTATAATCGAGGAGGAAAGATGAAAGAGTGTAGGGGAGAATGTGGTGAAAAATGAGGCGAGGAGAAAGTGAACGCCACGTCAAAAATGTCAGCTGAAGAGATGGTGTGAAAGAAATTCTATGGAAAATGAAAAATTAATAGCAAAACATGGTAGATCTATTACCTTATATTACAAATTATTAATAGTAAATGGGTAGTAAACATGGATTGTAATAGGTTGAAGATAGAGGCGAGAAATAGAGTCCAAGAAGGAAGAATTGCAAGGTCAGAGAATAGCAGACTCCGCGTAATATCGCAGAATTAGAAAAAGAAGTCAAGAGATATGACTGAGTGTAGAGGTGAGACAAACTGGGTTTGAAAATTGCGAGGGCGGTGATTTAGATAGCAATCGGCAGTGGCAGAACCAGGGAGCGGTCAAAGAGTGGCGAGAAGGCAGCCTCTGCCTCGAATGGCCACAGATTTCTTGTGCTGACCTGCATTCCTTTTTAAGAAATGCACTAGCAGAAAAATAAATGGAAGTAAGGAAGCTGAGAATTGAACAGACAGCCGGAATCCGTATCCTTGGGTAAAAGGACACAAGAAATATTAGAACCCCGTCGTTTCCACTCTGCTGCAGGAGCAGCGTCTTGCGTATCGCGAGCGCCAGGGCGAGGGGTCGGAGAGCGACCGCGCGGCCACCGCGGGCCGAGGAGGCGGCAACGTTGGATGATGTGCGCGGGGGCGCGGTGCGTGGGCGATGCGCGAGGCCGGCGGCAAGGTGCGCGCGCGCCGAGGGGTGGCTGGCTGGCCGGCGGCAGCGGGGGCGGAAGGACAGGCGAGGGGCGAGCCGCGCCGCGCTCTCTCACCTGCGCGACCGGCCGAGATAGCTCAGCGCAACAACAACTGCCACCGCTGTGCCTGACCCGCAGCTCCTCGGGCTGGAGGCCCGCAGGTGGCGGATTTTCAATACGAGCTTGGCCCAAGTGTGGGGGAGAATTCTAGTCAGGGAGCTCTGATCGGTATTTTTCCATGGTTTCTCCGATAAATACTAGTCGAATGCGGCAGAAATATCCTAACACACGAGGCAATGAACCGCGCGTTCTTTTCTTCTTCTCCCCTTTCACACTCACACGTAGGCGGCGGTAACAGTGAAGCCCGTCATTTCGGTCGGCCGACGTCGACTACCAATGATTTCGGACGGTGACTGCAGAGGTCGTCGGGGACCGCTTTGACCGTTTGCCGTTACGTGATTGAAGAAATTCGACATGTCGGAAAAAAAAAAAAAAGCTCCGACGTCATTCGACCAAAATTTTGGCCAAAATGGGTACACTTAGTACACTACACTACCACCCATCGGGAGATCAGCCGGTCGCTTAGAGCTTGTCGCTGCTGGGGCGTTGCCCCGCGAGCGGAAGTACTTGGAGCCCCCCCCCCCAGACTGGACGATCAGCAACGGATCTAGCGGGGGAGGAATACTGCCACCCCGGGATATATAACATGCACTACACTTACGCAACTCATGATGACAGCAGTTGACGCGCCCGGATCGTGTGATTGGAAAGGCTTCGCGGTCTCACCTGCGCGAGGCCCAGGTCCGGCAGCCACTCGCTGGACACCCAGGTGTGGCCGAGCTGCGCGATGCACGGGTAGCGCACCAGCGCCGGGTGGCGGTGTTCCTCGATGGCCAGGCGCAGCTTCTTGCGGTGCATCGGGTGCGAGATGCCCAGCCCGTGCTCCAGCTCCACGTCGCTCAGTTCCAGCAGCACCTGCCGCACCCGCGCACGCGTTAAGGACAGCGCTTCGCACGAGGGGCGAAACCCCAACAGTCGCTTGAGTAAGTTAGCATAGCTACTCTGTAAGTTTAGATTGTGCAAATGCGTGAAAATGGTAGCGTCTAATGTAAGTTTAGTTCCTAAGTAAGTAAATATTAGTATACAAGTTTAGATTATAAGTGCAATACTATGTAAATAAGTAGCATAAAATGTAAATAGTAGTTTGTAAGGTTAGTATAAGCTTAGGTTTAATAGTGCCCCACCCACAAAACTGTACACAAAAGCTAAAATAAATGTCATTATAATCCTGTCATCTGACAGCTTTGCCATGCAGCAATCGCAACAATTCCAGCCTTTGTGGAGATTTTCAAGTTTGGTTTTGGGTAGGTTAGTGGTGTCCACCACACATACAAAATGCTGCTCAGTTCGAATACTGTCAACTGGATATAAAATGGCGGAATGGCGCCGCAAAGGAACGTGCTACTCTCTGTATCTAGGGTTGCACTTCAGCGTGCCCAGCGCACTGAACCGAAAGCANNGGGGGGAGGGGAGCGCTCAGGTGCACCTGATATCCCACTCCTACGTGCCGAGCGCTCTCAATGTGCGATCCTAACTGCGGCAACACTAATACAAAGGAATGCAGGTACTGGAATTGTGTTGATGGACTCCCAAATGCCACCCACCAAGAACTTTCACTTTTCAATTGGTGAAGTTTTCAGCTCAACAAATGAACTGCTAGCCTTACTGGAACAACAGATATTCTTTTAAAAAGAATGCGTTTTTTCTCGAAGGTAATTTTATTATAATTTCTGTATAGACTTGCTATTATTATTGTATTAATACCTTTAATTTCTCTATTCTTATTTTAATTTCTTTCCCTATATGATCTGGATCCATTATTTTCTTCTAATTCTGCGTAATCATAGTTACAAATTCCAATTCAAATCGAAAGTTTATCATCGACTAAGCATTATATTTTAATGCGTCATATTTGCCATGACAATAGTTATTTTTTCTTTAAAAAAACGTCACAACACATCACATTATTACTGAGTTCAATTGGTTATAACATTGACAATATTCAATATATTATCTAATTATGAACATAATTTGATACATGGAAAAGTGGTGGATACGGGTGTGTAATTAATTTGCAAACAAGTACTATCACGTTTTCTTGAATAAAATAAAAACAAAAAATCTTAATTTTTGATTCTTGGGTTTGATGTATAACTAATAATAATAAATTATCATTCCACAATTCACAAAACTTTTAGTCAATACTTGCTTTCTAACGTGAAGCGATGAGAATTGGAGTCAACAGAGATTAGCAACTGTTAAACTGTAACTCATGATCTAAGATAGGTGCTAGCAGTTCTTTTAATATCCTTAATTCAAGATATATAATTCAAGGTCTAAATGCGTATCACTATTCTCTCTATCATCACGAAGAGCTTCGTGAAAAATGCAATACCCAAATTCCCCTTCCCACGAACTTGACGAAAAGCAAACTAATATCTCGTCACGTATGCTACCAACGGAATGTTCTTTCTGTACATTTACCCTTGTATTTCATACAACAGCCTTTTGTGGCAATCACGTTCGTTATCACTCAATGCTATTTCCTTGAAACGAAACCAACATTTCAGTAGTCGAGAAAATACTAACTATAATCGGGCGCCAATTCCATTACATGCAAATTTAGTGTCCTTTTGAGTTTCCGAGTGGCTGTTTGATGAACGCGCGCCGCGGCGGGAGATACCCAGATGGTCCCAGTGTGAAAAGAGAAGCGCTGCTCTCCCCTCGCGCCCGCCCTCCTCCTCTGATCAATAGTCAGAGGGGCGGCGCGGCGCGGCGCGGGGCGGCGTGCGGCGGGTGGCTCCGCTCCGCGATCGCGCTTCGCCCGCCCGCTGTCTTTATGGCGCCCCGCACGGAGGGGGCGGAGTGGAAGAGGGAGAAGAGCGCTGGGAAGTGGCAATTTTAGAAACAACACATTCGCGGTAATGATCTCCTAATGTAGACGTTCTGTTAGAACGCCGTCTGCTCAATTTGGTAAACAAGTCAACACGTTTTTGATGTTCGCGTCCTCTCAACAAATCTCTTTGTGTTTCTGGTTAGTACACATTCTTTGTTTTGTTTTCACTCCCCTTGTCCACAAAGGGGACTAGGTGGATGCCTCATTGTGATAGATTACTACGATTTCATATTTCTCTAAGAAGATGGAAATATTAATTATCGGTCTATTCCCTTATTTTCAAACATTGTTTAAACTTATTGGCACAAATAAACTCTCAAAAATTATAGATTTTTATTTAAGATTGAAAATTAAATATTTTTAACTTTGAAAATAAATAAATTTGCCTAGTTTATTCAATATTAATTTATTTAATATTTGAAACATCGATCTTTATGGCTTAAGTAATTGTAATAAATTGCAACAAATCCAAGTACATATCCCAATTATCATGCAGAGCAACGATTAAAATAGTAGTAATTTGAAGTGAAAAAATACGTATTGATTTGGGAAACATTTATGACCAGTTTATTTGACTTTCGATCACATTTTCAAGCAACAATGTGATCGAATGGAGTCCTCAATCATTATAGTTAGTACATTAAAAGTGTAATACATTTGAAGTAATATTTTTTGAGGGAGAAGAATATAGGTTTTATGCGCTATTTTTATGAGGGTATCGTGACTCCCTGAGCGCGTGGTACCTTTCCGCTCTTGATGTTCTCGGCGCAGCGGGGCCCGTACTGCGGCATGCCCAGCGCGATCTCCAGCCAGGCGAGCACAGTGGGCGCGCGCCACCGCTCCATGGGCACGGAAGCGGCCTCGCGCAGCAGCCGCAGCTTCTCCGCGTAGCCCTCCTCGGTGAGCGGCGACCAGCTGCGGTACGCGGCGTCGC